CTGTTCAAATCAAAAATCTCATTAAAATCAAAATATTTGTAATGAGACATTGTAACATACGAAGACTTCAATTTTATACAAAATCTCCCATAGATAGTGCATCAATATCTCGTCGGAGGCGTTTGAAATACGTATTTTTTGTGTTGAAGAATATATTTACAAATCACGTTTTGCGATGAAATTTCTTAGTTGCCATCTGCATTGGTAATGCAACGTGTGCGTGGATAAGGATTATGCTTCATAATTTATAATATTTATATCACCGATTTTTTCCACGTCTCGAATTGTTTTTTAATGCCAAGAGCTCAAATCGAGAAAAAAAAACGCAAATATAAAGCATTATAACGAATGTAAATCTCGCGCGACGGAGACGTCGAAGTAGGTCGCGATCGATGTCAACGCGTCGAATAAGAAAAAAAAAACTTGAGCGCGCAAAAGAAAGTAGCAGCATCTTACACTTTTTGTCGGGAGCCAGGATAATTTCCATAACGGCAGAAAAATGCAGTTAAAAAGAGCAGTGAGTCGCGCGCGCGAGTCGAGTCGAGCGAACGAGGCAGGCGTGTGCAACGCATCACTATTTACGACTTTTCGATTCGAAAATCTATGAGACGTAGCTTGCATCTTAGGAAACTGCCGTGCGGCGCCCGGCACTGGCAAGGCAAGCAAGTAGCAGATTTCTCTATGTATTTTGAAGAAGTAGCAGTAAGAAGCGGGTAATATTTATGAGAATTTCCATCAGTTTTTTTTTTCGTCTTATTCTCCCAGTCGCCGCCTGCTGGGATCTGTCGAAAATGCGCGCGACTTAGTGAGGTAGTCGCGACTGCAGCGTCCCGACTGTAAATGTATTCACGCACGTAGTATTTAAACGAATAAAATCATACTATCTCAACCGAGAGTAAAGCAGTTTTTTTTCTCGTATTTAAAATTAAGTATCTCGAACAAAAAAAAAAGCCCGCGCTCCAAAGGAATTTAGCTTCATTTCCAAGGCGTATTCATTACAATCATACGCCACGATGATATTCGCGTGGCTCGGGGTGCGCGCGGCGCGTACTTGTTCGATCGTAATTTCCTTTGCGGTAGTGAAAACTTAGACTCGTGGAAAGTTTAGTACTTTTAGGCAGCAACATCTGCAGTCCGAACAAAGAGAAATAATTCATATTTATTAAGTATATAGCACTAGTAAAATAATCATTGTACTGGGAGAGAGAGAGAGAGAGAGAGAGAATGTTAAAGTGTTACTCCGAGACCTGTGCGAGTACTTCTATATCTGTGAGCCGCGGCGCTGCACGCGTATACATATACGTCTAAACGTAGCGAACTTAGCGTATGGTAAAAGTTTCGTACTTAAGACTCCAGTACATTAGATGTAAGTACTTTCATTTTAATATATATACCTGCGCTAAGTAGAAGGTTTACCACACGATGTACATTACGCCAAAGTTTCGCGCCCAAACAAAACCAGCTCTATAGTCTGTCTGGAGATTCAATGAAAAAAAAGGAAATGAAAAAAATGCACGAGCTAACTGCAAAGCTTTTAGGATTCTCCATGCAAATTAATACATTTACAAAATTTTCATCAGCTCGTAGTTAATCGAGCCTATTGTGTTACTCGAGGAATTCTCTCGTGGAATAGATGCGCACGCAGCGTGTAAAGGTAATCAGGGAGCAGGTCATGTATAGAACTCATAGCGAGTCGAGGGATAATTTAGCCCAGTAGCGAAACTGATGGAACAAACACGAGACAGGCTCAGTGCACGAGAGCCAAGAGATTATATGGAGACGGCTAGAAAGGGAAGCTGCAGGCTGGCTGGGAGGGATATAGGGAGCTAAGAGCCACGCGCTAACCTAATGAAGCGTAATCTCGAGCAAACACAAGCAGCGAGGAGAGGAGAGGAGTGCGACGGAGGGTTAGTGGGTATACGGGACAGTTTGTGCAGGTTGAAGCTCTCTAGCAAATGTAAATACGACTTGCGAGGTATGGATACACTGCGGCCGTCGCCGCGCCAAGCTGCTTGAAATAGTTATACGCGCGGCGGCCGCATTGTGTGTATATACCTTATACTCCCATGGACGCGGTCGTCTCGCAGGCCCGGGAGCCGAAAATGAAATTACAAAAGACGCGGGGAGAGCTGATTTCGCCGCGCTCCGCAGACAACAAAGTTATCGCGTTAAACTCGCACACAGTTCGTATAATCTTGGCTCGCGAGCGTAGTTATAGCTAGAGCTAGCTTCGTCGGACGCGCAATAGTGCAGTAGCAGTAGCAGCTGCACCGAGCTATACTACTCACGCATACGGTTCATGGCGGACTATAAAGTAGCGCGCAACATTAGATCCATCTAGTGATTCCTCTATTTCAGCCTCCCGTGGTATATATATAGCACACATCTACGTATATATATAACGCTCACTTGGTCTTCTGGCAGGTTTCTCTCTCTCTCTCTCTCTCTCTCTCTCTCTCTCTTTCTCTTCGTTGCCTCTCTCTCTCGCTGGCCCATTTCTCCAGCTCGCATAAGTTGCGAACAATGAGGTTAGCGCTAACTCGATAGTTAGCTTCAGTACTTTTGCAGTCGGAGAGAAAGGACTAAAACGATTTTACTTGCTCGTACTCGGTATCGCAACTCGCTTTTCGATCCGCGCGTGTGTGTGTGCGAGCTCCCGCGCCAGTGTATGCGGTATCCGTACGGTGTACGCGGTGGCTTTCAAATCCTCTTTTACTTTTCTAAGTCCTTGCAGAATACGGCGAGTCCGCCTCGTCGCTACTTTATATATATGTGCACTAGCAACTGCGTACGTGTGTATATGTGTGTGTGTGTGTGTGTGTGTGTGTGTGTGTGTGAGTGCGAGGCTGCACTAAATGATGATACCAGCGGCATGTGTAGACTCCCACAAATGTACGCGCGTGCACGCAGGGCCTTTTGGCTTTGACTGTGCGGCAAGTTTCGCGCGAGCTTTCAGTTTGCGTGTGGGTGTATGTGTGTCTAGCTGCAAACTAGCTTTTTCCAATGTTCTGTCTAGATCCTCCTCACTTCTACCTATATTTTTATGCATCTGTAGGCGAGTTCTCACACAAACACACACACACACACACACACACACACTCGCGCGCTTACTTTTGCTAAAGCAGCAGAGAGAGAGAGTCAAGTTTCTCTCTGATAGTAAAGTCTTTTGTTCACGCGAAGGGATTTGTGCTTTTTGAGTAGCTCTTTCCTGCTGCGAGCGAGCGCGCGCGCGCGAACTTGCGCCCTCCGATCCTCCATATACTATATGTGTGTACCGACTCGAGCGCGCGCTCGTATGTATAATACGGGTTACTCTCGGAGCTTCTGTCTTTTACGACGCTGACGACGTTTTGGCGATAGTGTGCTGCTGCTGCTCGCGCGAGCTGGGGACACTGTTCACGGCACACACAGAGCCACAGGATGCAGACTTTTCTCGGAACTACGTATACGTATTTTTTTTTTTTTTTCGTTGCTGCAGTTCACGTTTCTTTTTCTTTCGCTGCGCGGCGCTTCCGCCGTCCCGACAGTATCTGCTTTTTAGATTTTTTGCCTCCACCCAATCCGAACGAGACTCCATGCCGGGCGAGAGAGAGAGAGAGAAAGATGGAAAGAGAGTGCGTCAGCATTGTTTTCGGGTACAAGTGGCAAAATGAGCCTGGCTCGCTCGCTACCCTATATCCAATATCCACTCCATATCGCGCGAGGGAGACCAGCTAAAATTGCCTTCTGACTGAATAGAGAGATTAAAGCTCTCCCTCTCGCTCCCTCCCTCCCTCTCATCTCCTCTCTCGACACGTATACGTAGATAAAGATGGTGACAAGGAAGCTCGAAGATGACTCGAATTGGCTCGAAAGGCGGTGGGGCACGGGCTGAATATGCGATGATTAGGGTGCCAGCGAGATGAGTATTAAATCTAATTGCCTATTAGAGTGCGGAGTGTGTCGGCGACATCGAGGCCCCCTCGCAACCGAACGAATGATTAGCCCTAATTTGCCAGTGCTTGATCCGTATAACTGTATACTAAAAAATGATGGAGTATAAGATAATATCAAAGTTGAACGCAACTTTTTATTGAATAATTAACAATAGTTTACGCGGACAATGCAATTATCACCGTGACTGAGAGTTTCGCGTGTTTTCGATAAGACCATTGTCAGTACCTATCTCTACGGTTTCACTGCAGTTTATAAGATCTCGATAAAATCTTTCAATGATGATAGAGACTTCTTTGCGAGTAACCCATTGTGAAAGCACGAAAAAAAGGCAGTAGAAAGGAGGAAATAGGTATACCGTACGCACACAAGCGCAGTGAGAGCTATAGATAAAGAAGGGAACGAAAGGGATGGAAGTATAGAGAAAGAAGTGACATTTGTCTCTGAAGTTCAGCAATGTTTGCCACCACACTTTCCATTTAAAAGTACCGCACTACGTCAAAGATGAGAATTTCAGCTCAATGTGTGGCTCTCTCCGCGCGTGTGTGCCTGTGTGTTCTGGAGAGGACCCTTTTATTCTCTTTCTGCGATGTGAGCAAAAGCTGCCGAGGATATACGGCAAAACTTTGTCCTTTGCTCTCTCGTCGCGCAAGGACCAGCCCTATATATTCGCGTTCGATGTGTGTGGTGCCCCTGGCCGATGGAAAATAATTTTCATAATGTAACTCTCTGTAGCATTGAAGCGCGCGGACGAGCTTTCTCGTGAATTTCGAGATAACGATGCGAAATTTAATTATCGCTTTATCGAACGCTTTGCATCTTTTTACGCTCGCTCGCTTGGGCGCGCGTGCTCGCGCCTCTCCACGGCTTGTTGGAAAGTCGAGCGAAAATACGCCGTTAACACGAGTCGTGAACTTTTGCAGATACCATGCGCCGCCGCCCCGCACTGGGCCGAACTGCACGCGGTTCGTCAAAACTTTTCATTGACACAATTAAAACAGTAATTTTTGACTATGCCCTCGCAAATTGTATTTCCAAAAAAAAAAAAAAAATGTGCGTGTACTCACTCGGAATTGCGGCCATGTCGGATTTCATCATCGCCTCCGGATTAGCAGAAGCGAAATATCTGCTTCGCTGTCCATCGGCCGTTGTCAGTAGATCCATACATGCCAAAATGGCGATGGTGCTCAATAACATATTGGCCGACTGGGTGTCTTGCGCTTAATTGCTCTGATGACTTGTCATGCTTTTGTTGGCATACAGGGATGATAAGCTTTCACTTTCATGCAGCACTTGTGGGACAACACTTGTAGTACACTGATCTCGATGATATCGTGGAGGAGATTATTCATAACAATGCATGTGTAGCATACTTTTAGAGTGGACCGTAGAACGTTGCAATCACTGCGTGTGATAAAAAAAATGAAATTCGTAAGTATTAACGTATTCGAGTTGTCATTTTATGTACCATTGCACCTAAGCGATATTGCTGTGGCAGAAAGTTATAAATACGCGCATTTACGAGCTCCTAAGCTATGGTACTCAAAAACGTCGAAAAGCACTTCAAAAATCGTAAAATGCGCTTAACGATCACTGGCAAACATTGTCTCGAGAGCTATAAAAATTCTGAGTTATTATTTTTTTCATTTTTTGTAATTGATAGCTACGGAAAAAATTCACTACGTTCTTCTTACTCGTATCTCATAACAAAAAATAATTTTAATATGTACACATGTGTGAATGATCGGAAATTTTATAGAGCACAGTATGCAACCACAATGCGTAAAATAAAAATGGAAGAATCTTCTACCTATGCCTTTATTATTATAAATTAATTTTAATTTAAAGATTACTTGAGCTAATTAAAGAAACGAGTGACAATAGTCGTCGTCACTTCAAAATTTAGTAAAAGCTCGAGTTTTAAAAAACTTTTATGATCGTTTTCGTTCGCACCAGGAAAAATGTCAACGAATGGGTGAACCGATACGTCGATTTCTGTGTGAATATCAAGCGTGACGTGCAAATGTACGACGATGCTGGTATGTGTACCAACTGACAAATTGATCTTGTGTACCGTAGCAAGGATACAACGTTCAGTTATTGCGCTGCGGAGCAGAAGATAGGTTTTTGTTGCATTGAATTTTTCACGCTTTTTTGTACTTTTGCCTTTTTGTCATTTCTCGTCGTATTTTCCGGGAGGCGTGAAGATGCGCGCGAAAAAAAATATATCGCCAAGTACTCTAGTAATTTTTAGGTCAACCGAGTGACAGTTCGGAGTAGTGCGAAAAAATCCTCATTTGATAAAAGATACTTCCGCGAGCATGAAAAATCTAAACTGTACGTTGATTACAGAAAGTGCTGCATTCTTTATGAGCAAATAAAATATATATTCGCTTCTTTTCCTTGTCCTCTTCTCCTCTCTCTCTCTCACTTCTAGCCAAGCCGTGAGTTAAACGTTTGGGAAACATAAATCGTTCCAGATTCCGGCGTCGCGTAATTAAGATGTTGGTCGCCGTGCTACTGCTACTACTACTAGTACTGAGCAACAGACAGTGCAGTATAGAACAAAACGACTGCTACTCGCACCCACGCACACAGCCACACACCGTTAGCCCAAGTAACCCAAATACTAGCCATATATAATTTAAAGAAGACAAATATAATTTGAGCCCTCGTGAATAAATGTGTGGGTATTCGTGTGTATTCAAGTCTTTTCTTCTTTCCTTAACTCGAGAATAAATTGAAAACGAAGCGAGGAAAAAGAAGGAGACGAGGAAAAGTGCACTGCACAGAGAGAATAGAAAAGACAGACCGCAACTGGCTCCATCATTTAGGAAAAAGGTTTACAAGTTTTCTCGGGTCTCAGCTGGCCAGACATTATCAACTTTTTCACTACCAAGGTTTCATCAACTATCGCATACGTCGTGTATTACATACGACTACGAAATAAGCGACTTAGTGAAGTATAAAAAATACGTCAGACAGGATATTTGTATGATTTCACTAGTTTCAAAGGCAAGAGCCCCGAACTTTTTTGACCGAGTCTCAGCTCGGCAACAATGCACTTTTTGCTCTTTGCAACGCAAGCTTATTTGCTTTGTACGCGGAACAAGTATCAGAACTTTTAGGAACTGCAGTAGCCTGCACAATCCAATGATCTTACAACGAATCGAAATTGCTTCGTGCTCGCGAGTACCAGGAAGATGGATACACACATGTGACTGGTAAAATAGAAAATTATTATCCCTCGCTCCCGTGTGCGCATTCGCATTATATTCCAGCAAAATGACCAAGAGATAACATGCAGTTGAGTGCGTTGAAGTTATATTATTATTTAGGAGAAGATTATTACGAGGCGCAAGTGGTTGCCATGCAAATCCGGAAAGCCCATAAGGTTCGCTTTACTACTTTTATGTTTCATACACTTGAACGTATACTTATTTAATATCTCGATATCGACAATTTTACCGCTTTAAACTCGCCTTAGCGGGCGCAAGTTTTGCCCAGCAAGTTTTTCCAACTTTTCGCGAGGTACGAGCGAACAATAAACTGAAACGAATGTGTTTACCAGAAAATGCGTACCGTGTATAGGCTTGCGAGACTGCCAAGTTAGTGTTTCACGAGCAACTTGTATAAAGGCTATGGGCATTATCAAACAATCAGATTTACAACTAGTGGATTTATAATTATTGACGCGATAAGCAACGCCGAGCCGCTGTTGACTTTACTCAAACAAAGTTTTCGGCTGAGTGTTATTTGCACGATAGCTTCAATTTTGTATCAAACGTTACCGTCATTAACAAAATTCATCAATGAGATTGATACGAAAACGAAGGAGAGCAAATTTGCCCACTGCATCAAAAAACGCAATTGGATGGCCCGTTATAAAAAAAAATTAAGTAAAATGCAGGATACAGCATATCGATAAAAGAGAATACTTAAATTTTTTATTCATTTTAATTTTTTTCTTTAGAATGAGCTTTCATTTAATTTATCATTTATGTTTTTTTAAAACGATCATGACATTATTACCAAGTAAAAAATTCAGGGCAGTTTAAGTATTTGAACAGTATCACATCCATGACATTTGAACCGTATCTCTTGCACGCGTATACTCATATAATATAGATAAATCCGTTCGAATGCCGTAAAATATGAGTAAGGGGATAAAGAAAAGTTCAGTCAACAATGACGGTGGCATCTACGGCCCGAGCTTTATCGATTTCAGTACGGCAGTGACGATAATAATGTAATTGATACGAATTTTCTTTCCTTGATAATGCGCGTATGTTTGCCGTCAGGTTGAAAATCGTAAAAAGAGGAATGGATATAATCGACTCATCCGAGCTTAGCACATTCAGCTCCAGCTTGCTATCTAACTGAGCATTATTTATCTGCGAGCCGAAAAAAAATTGCCTTTTAAACGTCTGCTTTTTTCGTCATAAACGTGAGCACGAAAATGCAAAATTGCTAATTAAAAAACTGCAACTGACTGCTTACTGTACATTTTGTTTCTGCGCTTTGTAGAATTTCTTTTAATAAGCTTGCTACCGGCGCTTTGCCGCCCGAAGACAGTGTGTAAATGTATATTTGTGTTTGTGAGTGTTGATTAAATGCGACAATTATGATTGAGATGCATACTTGTGTCTGTCTTTCTAGCCAAAGTACACGAACTTTAAAGTTAATAATTATTACGTGATTTAGTTTTTGACTGTACCGTGCAAATTCATAACTAACGATTAAGTGAACTTTTTTTCTCATATAAAAACATCATTTTACCTTTGGTGAATAAAAAAATGTAATTTTATGAAAAAAATCCGTTTGCTGTTATGTTGGAAGTATCACCACTGTGGTTTTTATTTATAATTGGAGATTTCGTTAGAAAAATGAAATTTATTAAAATTTAAGTCACGGCTGCAAATTGATATTTATGAATTCATACACAAAGCTGTTACTACAAGGGAATTTTTTCGTTTTATGTCTAGAGTAATTAACAATGTCTGATCAGTGAAGAGAGATTGAGTAATTTTATGGTGCCAACACGCGTGTAGCCAAACCTGTTTTAATTAATGGTCTCACTCGAAGCTTTTTTGCCGGATTATTGGAAAAAAGTTGGCGACAGAAAGCCCTCTTAGCTACCAGAAGGTAATAAAACTTCAATTTGTTTCATATCAAATGATCCCGATGTCTTATAATTATTGCAATCTGGATCTAAACGGTGTGCAATTAATACGTTTGTAATGCAATTGCATTACTTTCTTGAATTCACCGAGAACTTTCGTTCTGCTCTTTATTTCCTAATTTTAATCATGCGATTTATACTATTACTATATAATAGACCAATAATCTTGTTAAAATATTTTTTCAAAATTAAGCCAGATTCACCTTGAACTTTTTCAACTTTAAATCACATTTTTACATTATGCTAATACTTTTCTTTCGAACAATTTTAACTAAAGTTAAAACTAAATTAAGATAAGATTATCACTAGAGCCGTAAATAATTGAGACTCGTGCAATTTTAATTACTCAATCTTGCCACGGCAATTCGCCAAGTCATTAACAATTTTTCAAAAAAATCAAGTAAATAAAATTTCAAGTAACAAGCATGAGAACTAACCATCGTGTCGGTACACTCGCGTCATCGGGTATATTATGAGCGCAAAAAAACTCTCGAGTCTAAACACGCGCGCACTCCACGCGAGTTCTGTACGGGCAAAATGCACCGACGCGCCGTCCCTCCAGCAGATTCGCGATCGCACTGAGTCGCGCACACTGCGCGCACACCGGTGTCAGCTTGGTACGGTGCAGCAACCCCTTGGCAAAAGGTGCGCGCGCCGGCCCGTCCAACCCTTTCCTTCTCTCTCTCTCTCTCTCTCTCTCTCTCTCTCACTCTCTCGTTCGCTCACTCGTGTTCTCTCGCTAAAGCTCGCCGCTGCAGCCGCCGCCGCCGTGCGAGATATCCTTTTCGCGATACGCTCCGTAAATTAATTCCGCCCTACTTTTTTTACTCTACAGCTTGTACGAAGCATTGATAGATTTTTTGGACTCGAATGTGCAGTGCATTCATGTAGCAGTATATTTTACTTATGTGATACGTAGGTGTAAAATTGTTGGATAAGCTCCTTTATTAATTGCTTTATTATTCTGCGTTCAAACGAAAATTACTGTTTTTAAAACTGAGCCGATCTATCGATAAAGATATTTTTGATTTGACCAAAATACACTTGAGTATCATTTACGAGGTATAAATATTAAAAACTGTAGTTTTATTCAAAAGTTGCTTCAGGAAAGAAAATTTCAAACTTTCCATGACAATTTCTTTCTAATTTTCTCATGATGAAATTTGTGTCCCATGTTTCTCTATCAACAATATCGTATTAATGGTGAGCTTGTTACCTATCCCGTTTGATAAATGTCCATCTGACGAGAAACACGCATGATTGTACAAAATAGGAAATGCAAACACAGGCAAGAGTAACGTGTATGGTTTAGGATGACCACAATGTGTCTATCCATCCAGGTATAACTACCCTGAAGCTTATTAACCATAGTCAGCGTTACAAATTATCTCCCTAAAAATAAAGATAACTAATTTGAATATCCAATTAAAAAGCTACTTCCTGAAGTATTGTCTACCCGAATATTGATTCGAACCCCTTTATTCTTATTTATTTCATTTTCAACGTTTAAATTTCCTCAATTCTTTTCACCATTTTTCTTACATTTTGAAATCTCATTTATCTCATGATTTAAAAAAAAATTCAATTTTTTTACTTTTACGCATAATGCCAAAATGTTGTTGTCAGATTCCGCCAAAAATGATTGATGGACTTTTTTATATTTTAACTGATTTCTCTTCTTCTATACTTCTTTTGAATGATGTATATTTTCTTCATTAAAGTAAATGGCAAAAACTCATAGACCTTGAAAATTAACTTTTTTTTATTTTCACGCTCTCAAAGTGATCTCTAGATGATAGGCAAAAAACAGTATGTCCGTTTTCCTTCAAAGCCCATATCTTTGATTGGTTTAAATCGAATAATAATTTTTCTGGAACTTAAAGCACAGCTGGGATATTTTATTCGAATTTTATATATTGTGAGGTAATCTTTTAGCTATTATACCTTGACACTTGCTGTGAATGATCGTCTAAATTACTTGTTTTAATAGACATATATTTTAAAACGCAAGCGCATGAAATCGAAGAACACATAGGTGATGTTGCAGATTTATTATTATTCATCAATTACAACTTATAAAAATTAGAATTTGTTTTCCAAAGTTCACCAAGCATAGAAAAATAATTGAATAACGTTTCTTTCTCAAGTGTAAAAGTATCAGAACGGTGCCTACACTGTGTTCGCTCAAAAAAAAACTTTGAGCCTCAAAAAAAAAAAGAAGAGCATAATGGAAAAATTACAGAGTAAAAGATTTGAAAGCAATGAAGCTAGATATCGATTTATGCAAGTGAATTCAAAATCTTTTCATGTGCATCCTCGCAAACTGAATAATTTTCATGAAATCTGGTTGATCATTAAGCTTGCTGGATTTGTTCGGATTATAAATTTCCGAGTTTCAAAGGTGAATATTCATAAATCTGTCATTGACTCTTAATTGCATAATTTTAATTACATTTGACAGGATTCTGGAAATGGAAGTTTAATTTATAATGATTTACAATTTTTTCAAACAAATACTTGATTATTGCTTTTCATTTGCAAGAAACGTATCAAGAAGTATTAAAAATGATTCATTTATTACAAATAACCAGGACTTTAATTTATTTGATTTTCGAAGTAAAAAAAACAGATCGATATTTTTGTGAGAAATTACCAAATTTGCGCATATGGCTCTTGAGAGAGTTCCCAAATTAGTTCGTCTGTCCACTGAATATATATTGGACAGCTGATACCAGCGTTAGAAATTCAATCGCGTTGTTAAAATAGCCGTTGGCATTATTCACCTTTTAAAAAATTTTTCATGAATGTTTTAAAAGTCTATACAAAATTTATGTGAAAATCTGAATTTTTTAGCTCTTCGATCAAATTACGTAGTGCTGGTTTTAGAACGTGGGGGAGAGGATGGGAGGCAGAGGTGTAGATCACACAGATAGAGGAGCGTTTTATGTTTTTTTTCCTCACCCTTTTATAGGAATCAACATACTTGTATGAAGTATTCAGCCGTATAACACATTGTTGACACGGGCATGTAAATTCATGCAGACGCACGCGCGCCTGCACGTATACGTATATAGGTACTACGTATACGGGACTATATAGGTATGCTATATACGCGCTGCGCTGCAATGACGAAGCGACCCAAGCACGCCGCCAGCATTTTTACAGGCACGCACGCATTTTCCGCGCTTGCATCTTGAGCGCGCCCGAAATGTTTGCGCGTACACTCGCGGAGGTGGCGGCGGCGCCTGATACACGTGTAAATTCACTCGGGTGCAAAACCATATTCATATATGTACTATGTGCTCGCTCGCATCGCGTACGATCAATTTCTGCCCCCTACACTCGTGAATCAGATTTATCGGTTTCTCGCCCGCCTCTACGTGCCTTGCCTGCTTCGATATTATATACCGTATATGTATATAGGTGGTACGCGGAGCGGCTTTACTGCACTGCAGCGCATACAGCGCATATACGCGCGGCGCGAACGTACAACCTTTGGCTCGGCAAGATTAGAAGAGTTTCGACTGCGGCATTTTCAGAGCCGCGCGCACAGACACGGTGCACGTGTGTGCGAGAGCAGCAATATCGTCGCTGAAAAATGTAAATATACACACATATGAGAGCTGCGCGTAGCAGGCGTACCAGCAGCAACGTGTGCGATGTGTCATGTGCGATGTGTGTGCACGTTGAGTAAAAATGAGATAGCGAACGAAACGTAGAAAGAGAACGAGAGGGAGAGAGAGAGGGAGGGAGATAAGCGAGCAAGAGAATAGCCAGAAGCGATTCTCAAAAAAGTTGAAAAAGTAAATGAAAAGCCGGAAATAAAAAAAGGATATATGGCTCGAGTGTAGTTTATTGATTTTCGTCATATTTCACGTGGTTTCCCTGCACTTAATTACGTCTGATCGCAGTTCCAAATTCAAATTCGCTCAAGATTAGACAAGAGGTATGAAAGTAAATCGCGTCTACCCATTTGAGCATTTATCAGCTGCAACTGACCATATGTTTTCGATATTCATCGTAATTTTTTCATATAAATAATTAGAACACTGGTTTAAAATAAAGATAATTGGATACATTTTTTGTTGTTTATAATTCTTGAAAGAAACTGGTAATCAAAAGTATAGTAAACTGATCGTATACTGAAAAAGGAATGATTTAAATGAACAAAAAACTGTCATTAATATTTACAAAATGACTATATTTATGGATTTAGTCTAATAAGGCATCGAATAAATGCACTTAACACGATATTCAAAGCTTTCATTTGCTTTAAGATAAACGTCGCAAAAATCGTTATTTATTTGAGTAGTTTTATTAATATTGCCTAGACTTTATGAAGTCCAATCAACATTGGATGAACTATTTAAAATATGTAACAAAGATCCAATATTATGAGCACGATATTTAATAAACTACAATATGATTATATACTTTATGATTTAAGTATCTATATACCTATGCTTTCGTTGATTTAATTTGAAGCATAATTTGATATCATTAGTACAGAATAGTAAGTAATATTTAATAGTTTAAAATACTATATTTTATATAACATATTTAATATACAGAAAAATACCGATCATATAAGTTTCAACATTAGCCAACACTCGTTAAATAGTTACATCAAATTTGTACAATGTGTGCGTATAAAGTTATAATTTATGATGATATGAATAAGCGATTGCTTTAATTACCCTAGCAGTACTAATTTAGAAAACTTAAAATTACGGTAAAAATATGTACACGAAGCATGAAATATCACGAAGAGAATTTTACAAAGGCATTTCACTTTATTACACGGTAGTTTGTTTATGTACAACGATGAATACGTTCTTGAATCAGCTGCTCTGTAGATCGATGTCGACCTGCTGCAGCAAATCGGGCTCTGGAACAGAAAGCGAAAGAAAACATTATGATTGGATCGAGAAATGGAAATCAATACCTATATAGAGCGCCGCTCAGCCCGCGCTCGGTATTATAATCAACACGGTCTTTAATTTCGAATATAGGAAGCCGCAAGAGGTCTGGCCAAGTTTTCGGTGAGCAACATCGCTCGTCGGGAGTCCCAATATATAGTTACCTAATATCCTATAGAAATAGAAACCGATAGCTCGACAGCATGTTCGGCATAACTGTATACTCGGCTCGGGATAGGGAGCGCACTTTCCCCATTGCCCAAGTCTGGATATATAGATTTGTGTGTGCGCGCGCGCGAGTGTGTGTGTGTATGTAGGATCACAGGTCATAGAATCGTGGCTCGGGCCAGGCCGCAGAAGCAAGGAGGCGATGTCATCATCGGAAACTTGAAATTACGGTTGGGTGTCGCGCGAACTCGCTACTACTACTGCTGCTGCAGTATAGGTAGGGTTGCGGAGAAGCTGCGCTCGGCCCGCTATACACAGTAGTAGTACAGCTATACACACACACAGACAGTGTATGAGAAACAGCCAACAGGCAATTCGCGCGATACATCGCTCGTATAGTTACAGGTATATATAGATGGAGATGCGCGACGGAGCCGCAGAGACACACAAGCTTGCGAAGATAACAGGTTTATATGTACCCAAGAGGACTGCGGGAGAAAAGCAGACGTGCAACGCTGCTGCCGCTGCAGCCCCCCCCCCTGCCCTGCCAGCCATCCTGCCCAACGGATCCGCTGTATACATGCCGCGCGCGCGCGAGTATTTCTCATTCTGTCACTTATCCTCGAAGAATCGGTCAACCCCGGCACACGTAGCTAGAGAGAGAGAGAGAGCGAGCAGTTTCGAAATAGTTTTAGCTCCCTTTCGCTCCACGCGCGCGCGAGTCCAACACAACAGGAGAATTAGATTCCACGATGAAGCTTGTACTCTCTCCTGCCCGCGTGCGGCTATATGTGTGCTCGCAATAGTAGTAGCAGCAGTCTACGCGTGTGTTTTCACGTGCATGTGTATTCCGGGGGGCTGCTGCTCATGTTTACTGCAGGCCGCATACTGCCGAGCTGTGTTTTGCCGAGGCGCGTCGAGTGTTATCATCGCAAACTTGCGACTACGAAAGTTACTACTCTTGGCACGCGAGAGGGGCGATGCAGAGAGAGAGAGAGAGAGAGAGAGAGAGAGAGAGGAGAGGCTGCGGTACAATATTCCATCCCCAATGCTATAGCCCAGTGCGCGCAACGCCACCGTGCCCGCGCGCGTCTATGTATGGCCGAGAGAGAGAGAGAGAGAGTCCTGTGGGATGCCTCCTACCACCTTCGGGCTGCCTTGTTCCGTAACACAGTTTCATTCGAATTTCTCGACGCGTGCGGCACTAGCAGCACCAGCAGCAGCAGAAAGCTTTTCGTTATGTAGGTGCACACGCGCGCGTTCGCTGCGCTCCTGCTCTCGGTAATATGCTGCATGTAACATGGCTACACTAATCGTGTGCTAATCGAAATTCCCCTTCTCTCTCGCTGTACTCTCTCTGGTTCCCAGCCTCCTACTCCTCCTCCCCCTCTCTGTACAGCTAGATACATTGTCTTGAAACTTGCAAACTTGAATTTTAGATTGTGATTCTGCTCGCCACGCGCGTAAATTCCGAGCTCTCTCTCTCTCCTCGGCTGGCGCTTTTCTTTCGACTTTTTCTCTCTACGGCGCGCGGCCTGATAATGAAAAAGCGCAAAATCAATGAACCATGACTATTACAGCCCCGGCTACTAAAGCCTCGTAAAATCGAGCTGCTATCGCTCCGTCAGATTTCTTTATGAGTCGATAAAATTTCACTCACTTCCGACAACTCATTGTTCGTGTTTGCCTCGATGAAAAACTTTATAGTAAATACTATTCCCAGGATCGCATATAATACACATCAAAGGTAGTCTCGTTTTAACTTTAAACAATTTTTTTTTATTTGTGCGATTTTTAAAAGGTTACATTTTAATCACCCGGATTTTCTTTTCTTTCAGTTAAATTTTTTAATTCGCGACAGCAGTCCTATGTAAGTTATCCAAATTACATAATGAAACTCGTTTCTGGAAACGTCGCTTGTTATTAAAGCTCTTTTTATTTTTTAGGGGGATTTGAATACTGCAGCTTAAGATCGTAAGCGTAAAAAAGTCGACAACGTGAAGATTTTTTTCAAGGATTATAAAGAACTTAAATTCGTTTTGAATTATATATAAAAGAGGAGATTAGGCTCTTGAAATATCACTTGAAAAAGAACGAGTAATTTCGCATCATTTAACGTTGTTATTTTCAAGGTCCTACTCCGTGAATTAAACACAAAAGGTCAAAATCTGTCTGCGTAAATCATATTTCTCGTCCACAATCCACCCTTGATTTTAATTAACAACGTCTAGTACACTCGAGAGAGCTGCGCAGCTCAGACTGTTGAGCTTGCATGCTTACACGCGCTCCGTTGGTATTTTTTACTTTAAAATTACCATTAGATTTAAAAAAAAATGACAATAAAGATTAAAGCTTAGATTAGAAGCTATAAAATAATTTCGAGCTTATATACTGTACTGCAAAGTGCATGTAGCGAGTTGTCGGTGCAGGCAAGAAGCAACTGCTTCGTGTCAGCGACTGCAGGGATTTAAAATTTTTGATCTCGCCCGAGCGCGTGAAACGACGCACGAAATTACGTCTTCCGCCGAGTACACGACGTCGAGGCTATACAATATATTTAGTCAGAGATATATAACACCGATACTGTTACGACGGGCAGCAGTCCTTTCTCGGGTTAAAGAAGCGTACAGCGTCCTCCCAACCTGATGATCTAGATTTTGAATATAATATACACCGAAAATGCTTTTGTGCTTTCGAAAAAAATTTTATTGATCAGTTGTTCACGTTTTTTTTTAAAGCTACATCTGGAGTGAAATGAAAAATTGATTTATGCGTCGTTCTTTACTTCTCGTTGTTCTTTTTGATGTCGTCTCCTCCGAGAAGAAAAGCTCAATATCCTCGGTATATATAAGCCGGTTATTTGATTTAAAAACGTTTATCTGAAGCGTTGCTTACTTCTAACCGTATTTCTATAGAATAAGCTAACAAGTTTTTATAGACCGTGCATACCAAATGTATATTTGGAAAATTTTTTACAAATTACAATCTGATTTTTCACGTTATTTAAAAGAATATTAATGGTCTATTTCACCCGCTTAGAACGTAACGCGAGTGTGCTTTACGCGTAATTTTCATTCTCGATAACGAGCTATTGATGTATACAGGCAGACCACACGCAGCTACGCACTCGTATATAATCACAAAATGTTACTCGATATCAAGCTAAAGTTAAACATGTATCAGTAAGCAGCTTAAAAGCTTAAAAGCCCTTTCTTAAAGCTTAAAAAAGTTAATATCTTGGCTGTTGGGTATATGCGTGAGTGTGTGTACAACATGAAATACACCTGTAGTATAGTCATTTAGCTCGCGAGCTCGCAAGCGACTCATGGCACAACACGAGCACCAATATACTACAGCCGCAAGAAGGAGAAAGAGCACATGCTCCTCTGTTCCATGTATCGCATGAAAAAGTAGTTGTAACCTATACATACCTATGCGGCTTTCCGCCTCGTAGAGACTCGCACGGTGCGGTTGCGAGCGACTCTTGTCGTGGCCGTATCTAATTTTCGGCTCGATCCTCTGAGCCGCGATGTACGTCGGCGTCGTGAAGTCATCGGGTCCGGAGTCGACGCATTGCCGGGCCGTTGGGTCGTTCCTCGATCTTCGGCGGCATATTACGATTCCAATCAGCACACCAGTCCCGATAAATACAGCCGAGGTCACGACTATTGGTAGAAAACACAATAAATTCGAAACAATTAGTTTAGAATAAAAAAGGAAAAAAAAAAGGATCGTTATGAGTACACGAGGGAAAACGAAATTGCTGGTAAAAATTTATTATTCGGGATACCCACATCACTCGATTTCGTTACGAAACTGCGCAATGCTTTATACGTCGCAGTGATGTTTTGCCTGTCTCGGTCCATATCAATTCCAATTTCAAGCACACAACATGAGTACGAAGTTTTGCAAAATTATCAACGATCGTGTGCACATACGCGAGCGCGCGTGTGTGTGTATCTGTGAATATGTGTGAGAGCGCTTACGTATTTGTGCACTTTGAAAAATGTACACACCGAATTTCTGCGCGCCTGTCTCGAGAGTGAAGAAGCGAGTGCGCGAGAGAGCACGTGATGAAAAGTATTTCGCAATACGCGACGTTTTTTCGCTCTCGTCCTCGCTTCTCGTTTGGTTGACTGTGTATATATAACATAAAGCTTTGGCGCATGCATCCCGGTGGATTGCAATTAATCAAGTTTAGAGCATCGTAAACTTCGGCAGAGAGAGAAAGGGGGAGAGGGGGAGAGGGTTGAGCGCAATACATGTATCTTGCATTTCTCGATATCCAATTATCATCGCTACATCGGCTGACGAATTGATACGTAGACAGTCCAATTACGATCCCGGCCAAGTGGACTAGGGACCGGTCGAGCCGGCAAGTAGTGACGCGGGCGCGCGACGAGATATGTATATTCACTCGTGCGTTATTTTCCATTTAAATGACAAATTAGATTGATCGCTTTTACTCAGATAATACTGTTAGTTCGACCGACTACATCCATCTAAATTGTTGCTGCGAATGCCTCTCGACTCTCATCGAAGTTATCTTTCCTACCTTCGCTCGTTTTTGTTCGTTTTATAAACGTGCTAAATATTGGTATTTCTCAGATTTTTTTGAACCTCCAATCGCCTTTCATCCGATTAAGCAATTTTACTATATTAGTTTTTATTTTTTTTCTCTCGCTACGAATTCTACCCTAAGTTTATCGGTGAATAAAAAAAACATTTAACACTTGGAACTATTTTGTACAAAATATTTTTCACATGATTTGAAAAATAGATTGAAAATATCTATCTAGCACTGGAAAAATGTTACACGATGCATGCATACCTCTGTTTGTATTATTTAGTTAACTGAGAAGAGATTTAAAAAAGTATCGAAAATGATCGGCAAAGTTGCGATTTCTAGCTAATATTGACATAAAAAATGTCTTTTAAAGTATTTAAAATGTAGACCATTTTTCGACAAATTTTGAAATAAATATTAAAAGTTTTATTAGAGAAAGTTTTTTGAAAAGTACTTAGTTTTAGAAAGCCACAAAATTCCTCAAAGAAATCGTCACCAAGTTAAAATTTTAAAATGTTTCACATAATGTAAGTATAATGTATAAACAGATAAATTGGTACCTCAGTTGTAAACAATGTGATTACAAACGATTTTGACATCGTCCCTCGAACACTGGTCATATTCATGGTGAAAACAAATTAGTATATATTATCTTTCCCGATGAAATAAGTCATAATACTAAAAGATAAATTATATTCATTGAATTTCCGTGGCAATAAATCGAAGGATCTATCATTTATTTCAAGTACTAAAATGGATAAAAGTGAAAAAAAATCCGAAAAAGATGTCTCCAGCGATAATTTAAGTAAACGCAACATAATCGTTTCAGAACATGTTTGTGACATTTGTCAGGAGGCATTCATGCTAGAATCAAGCATGATATCACACAAAAACATAATTCACAATTTTGCATGCAACAAATGTGAGAAGAAATTTGAGTTTCGAAGTCATTTAAGCAGACACCAAGTATCGGTACACAAAGGCTGCAAAGATTTTTCATGTGACAATTGCGAGAAAAAATTTGTGAAAAAATCGAGTTTGTTTGCGCATCAAAAATTAGTACATAAAGATCGAAAAGATTTCTCATGCAACAAGTGCGAGAGGAAATTTGAAAATAAATCAACTTTATTCAAGCACAAAAAAATATTCCACGAAGTTTTCAAAGATTTCGTATGTGAAAAGTGCGCGAAGAGATTTGATACTAAACGTAGTTTATTCATGCACATAAAGACAGTACACGAAGGTCGGAGAGATTTTGCATGCAACCGGTGCGAGAAGAAATTTATAAACAAAAGGAGCTTACTCTGCCATCAAAGGACAGTCCACGAAGATTGTAAAGAATATACTTGCGACATATGCGAGAAGAAATTTGGGAAAAAGTCGGATTTGATCAGACACCAACAGACAGTACACGATGGTCGCAAAGATTACGCATGCAACAAATGCGAGAAAATATTTGGATATAAACAAAGTTTACTCTCGCACGTAACAACAGTCCACGAAGGTTGCAAAAATTACTCATGCGACAAATGTAAGAAAAAATTTGGATATAAATCGGTCTTGTTGATGCACCAAAAAACTGTCCACGAAGGTCGCAAAGATTATGGATGCAACGATTGCGGAAAGAAATTCGGACTAAAACATCAAGTGCTTGTCCATCAGAGGACAGTACACGAAGGCCGAAAAGATTACGCATGTGATAATTGCGAAAAAAAATATGGACAAAAAGTGCATTTGCTTTTACACCAAAAAACAGTCCACGAAAGTCAGAAAGCTTACGCATGTGACAGATGCGAGAAGAAATTTGGAAAAAAATCTCATTTAGTCTCCCATCAAAAAACTATCCACGAAGGTCGCAAAGATTACGCGTGTGACCGATGTGAGAACAGATTCGGACAGAAACTAAATTTGCTCAGACACCAAAAGACAGTACACGAAGGTCGCAAAGATTTTCCATGTGACAAGTGTGAAAAGAAATTTGGATTAGAACATAATTTGCTTTTGCACAAAAAAGTAGTCCATGAAGGTCGGAAAGATTACGCATGTGATAAGTGCGAGCACAAATTTGGACACAGTTGGAATTTGCTTAAACACCAAAAGACAGTACACGAAGGTCGCAAAGATTTTGCATGTGACAATTGTGAGACAAAATTTACACAAAAATCGAGTTTACTCTACCATCGAAAAATAGTACACAAAGATCAGAAAGAATATGCATGCGATAAATGCGAAAAAAAATTTGGGCTTCAAAAAAAATTAATAAAACACCAAAAAATAGCCCATGAAGGTTGCAAAGATTACGCATGCGACAAATGCGAGAAGAAATTTGGACAAAAAATTCATTTACTCACCCACCAAAAGACAATCCATGAGGGTCGGAAAGATTACGCATGCGACAAGTGCGAAAAGAAATTTGGACAAAAAATTCATTTACTCACCCACCAAAAGACAGTCCACGAGGGTCGCAAAGATTACGCATGCGAAAAGTGCGAGAAGAAATTTGGACTGAAATCTACTTTGCTTTTGCACCAGAAGACAGTGCACAAAGTTCGGAAAGATTACGCATGCGACAAATGCGAGAAGAAATTTGGACAAAAAATTCATTTACTCACCCACCAAAAGACAGTCCATGAGGGTCGCAAAGATTACGCATGCGAAAAATGCGAGAAGAAATTTGGACTGAAATATACTTTGCTTTTGCACCAGAAGACAGTGCACGAAGTTCGGAAAGATTTCGCATGTGAAAATTGTGAAAACAAATTTACACAAAAATCAAGATTGCTCTTACACATAGCAATAGTCCATGAGGGTCGTAAAGATCATGAATGCGACGAATGCGAGAAAAAATTTGTACAAAAAGTGCAATTGCTCAGACACCAAAGGACAGTACACAAAGGTTCCCAAGATAACGAACGCAATAAGTGTGGAAATTAATTCAAATTTAATTAGATATAAAAAAACAATCCGTAGAATTTATAGGAACCTCCTAACCGACAATTCACTATATTTATTAAGATGACGTATGTGATAAATAAGATAAAATTTGTGCATACTAACGTACTTTTATTTACCACATTTTATTTGTCTATGAGAGTAAAGTTTTTATGTCAATGTTTAAAAAAATACAAAATAAGAATCAATTTAACCATTCTTAAACGAGTCGTTTTCGGAAATGTAAAGACTTCGGATCTCAATTAAATTTTTGCACAAAGTTATGAATTTGACGATTTTGTTTTTTGTCTTTTTCCTTGTTGACTTTTTTTATTTTTATTCGTAAATCATCAATCGTTTCAAGTATCTTGTTCGAATTTTGTAAGGCTTCTTCGTATTTCAAGAAATCGATGTACGTTTCTATGTTTGATGACAGTTTATTGATATTGTCGAAATAAATTTATCGATTTGAAACCCCATTTTATTCATGCATGTATAATTCACAACACGTTTTTTTTTCTACTGTAAAAAGTAAAATTGATAAAAAGGTTCACAGTTTACGCTTTTTAGGAGTATTGCAGTAATTATTTCTATGAATTTGGTTAAAATTTTTATGCCACGTTCTCGGTGGACGAGTAATAAAATAATTTTCAAGTATTTTGTGGCATTACTAAGTAAAAAAGGAGACTTACAGGTAGGCACCAAAGTTTCGGTAAAATCCATTAGAATCGAGCAACTGCCATACACTCGAAGAGGGAAGAAATTTTTGCCGAAGCTCGAGCGCGAGAAAAATATACGAGGACGACTGCGCTTCGCGCAGCAAAAGTAAAATAGAAGAAAGGAAAGAGGAGGTAAAACCGGTAGCTAGAAAAGAATCGGTGACGCGAAAAAGCGACAACTCGGGATCCGGCACAAGGTGGCGACAAGACGAGGGCGCGCGCGTGTGAGCTAGCTATAAGCGAAAGAGGCGCTAGCGAATATTTGTCCCGCTCGCGTGCGTCTCCTTACCTCTCTCGCTCCCTCCTTTTCCTTCTCTCTCTCTCTCTCTCTCTCTCTCTCTCAGGCTCAATCTCTATTCAACTTTTACCGCTTCACCTCTCGCAGTGAGCAGATATATACGTATATATATATATAGTTACACGAGAGGGAGAGGCTTTGCCTTGCTTGCCTGCGCAATGTTGCACTCCTTCGACAAATTTACTCGTACAGTCTTTGCCCGGGTGTGTATATGCGTACAAGCACGAAAAAAGATAGCGAGTGCGAGAAAGAGAATAAGACCGTAAGTAGAATGCATTCCGTCGCGATCGAGACTCTCTTACTTTTGCCATCCATCTACCTCTCTTTCATGCACGCGCATACGTATATATGCGCTCGCCCTAGCTTTTCACGCGCGCGAGCTTTTCTTCCGTTCACGTATACTATATATTCGCTATGCTATATCTCAGAAGCGTGCAGTTTTATTTTTCGTATCACACGTGCTTATTTGCTTCTGATTTTTAGTATTTTTTACTTCAGTCAAACACCGAAACCGTATCGAGTTGTCTTCATTTTTACGTACAAAACTTGAATAATAACCTCGCTCGTGCTGCCCAAGACACACGTACGCGCATGGTTCGGTGTAGCAAATTCATTTTGAAATTGTAAAAAGACTATATATCGGGTGCTCAAGTAGCGATATTGCTTTGAATTCATTGTTTGAGCTCATGCACGTATAACATGAAAACGCGTGCGCGCGCGCCCTACAGCGCTCCGAGAGCGCACACGACTAGCTCGGCCCCGCTCGCTCACTCGCTGATATTATCCAAGTCTTTTATCGACAACTTTTCACTCGATGGAACTCTCTCGCACATGTTAGAAATCTCGTTTTCTCACACGCGAATTCATAGATTTTTTTTCGTCGGAAAAACTTTGAAGTATAGCAATCCATACGTTACACTCGATTCGAATTTTCATTTCTGCGCACTTGCACGCCACGGAGACTTGTGCGAGAAGAAATATCGTGCGAATTACTCATTTCTCGACTCTCGAATTCAATGTGACAGAGGGAGACGCGCTACTTTTTTTACGCTATCCTTGGCTTATATTTAATCCGTTCTTACCCAAAGAGACCCAAGATCTGTCTTTGAGAATATATCATTAACGCGATTGGCGTTAGGAATCATGTAAGACCTATGTATTTTTAAAACTTCAAAGTTCTTTTTTCAATGTTAAAGTTGTTAACAATGAGAAAAGAAATAAAATTTCCCCGGGATATTTCTAAAATTTTGCAATCTGTGTAATTTTTTGAAATTTGAAATAATAATTTATGCAACGGGTGCGAATATGTTTTTTCTGCAAAATGAGGGGTTACAGCTCGAGCGGAAGGCGAGTTTGGCGATTTGAACTTCACCATTGAACGAAAGAACTTTCAAACTTTGAAATTATGTAAAGGTCTTATATTTTTCTAACGCCGATTCATTAATTGTTGATGGAGAAAAAAAAATAGTTCTGACTTACGTATGATTCCAACTATGATAGCGATGCCTTCGATACTTCTGGTATCAGGTATAACGCTTCCAATCTCGCCGAGAAATCGACTCTCGGCCGACATGGGCGTCCTCCTGAGACTGGACTCAGCCACTCGTACATTTTCAATGAGGTGGGGCTCGCTGCGGCCTTGGCTGTTCTCCGCGTAAACTGCCACGGTATAATTGTAGCCCGGCAGCAAACCGTAAAGCTGAAAACTCGGCTCGTCGGCTCGCTCCAGATAAAGGGGTGCCGCCGTAATTTCCAGCGACGAGGTGGCGGCGCCCGCCGCTGCTGATGACGCTGCCGTGCCCTGATCGCTTTGCGGCATCATTTGCTGAAGTTGGAGACTCGTTGCGTTATCCAGAATCCCCCGGACCTCGAGGAGGAAGTGCTGCGCGAGACCACCACTCGAGCCGGGAATGCAATTAACTTCCATCGCGCTGCTCTCGTTGCGGATACTGCAGTCCGACGGGCTCTGCGGCGGCTCTGTAAATAAATTTTTATTTCAATCCTTCGATCCCTCGTATTCACCCAACGCATCTATACCGAAAGTTTTCTTCGACCAATTCCATATATAAATTCATTATGCCTAACGAGTGCGCTTTGAAACTAATTTTATTGCCGACTATCGCCCAAGTATGAGCTGGCTCGTAGCTTGTAGCGCGAGCTCGAGCTTATAGTTTCCCAGCGAAATCACGTTTTCTCTGCCGCCTTATTCTCACGCGCAATTTTTAAATCGTCGATTCAGATTAAAATCGTTTCCTTCCTTTCGTTTTATAATGGCGATTGAGCACGAAAATGCCCGTCTATTGTCGCTCTTTTGCTTTCGCGTTTCCCAATGGCTCGCCTTCTCTTTCTCTCTCTCTTCCATTGGCTTTAATGCTAATTCCCTTCGCCCGCGGATCGCATATATAGTCGAGTCAATTCACGCCAATGTCGCACCTAACCATTCAGATGCTCTTTTTCCCTCCCTTTTTCTCCCTATTCCATCTGTACACTTTTTGTCTTTGCCTTTTTTATCCCATTTTTCATTGTTATTTAATCACTATTATTTCACCTTCATTTATCCGTATCACATCATTAGGTGAAAAAATTTTAATTATCATACCTACAAAATGATGCGATTTTCTAGATAAAATAAAAGAATTGAAAAAGCAGAACCTCAACATAATTTTTATTACCCTTTCAATAATAACGTTGTCCTAAGAAAAGAATTATTTTTATATCAGATTTTCATTATTCAGAGGAAATTTTATTGGAATTACATCAATCGAAATTAGTTCAATGAAACGCCGTATTGAAGCGAAAATTTATAGTACATGTTTACGTTGGTGGAAAAAATCGCGTCGTTAATATATATCAAACATAAATTTATCTATACTTGTAAAGTTTTATGACCTACTTGCTATGTGATCTACATGAGACGTCAATTTATACTTGTAAATAGACGAATCAGAGTAAAATTGAGAGTTTGCCATAATTTATATAAATGACGTCAAATTATTTATAAAGCAACGCCATTTACTCACCTGTACTACACGACGTCAAAGTTTCATACACAGATAAAGTGATAGATACTCTTTCATAGAATTCGCTCGCAGAAACGCAAATAACATGGTTACAAAAGGGAACATTTTATGCGATTACACACCTGCGTGCGTCAATTTGTGGCTGACTGAGTGCGTATTTACCTTATATTGTATATATATATACCGGTACGGCGCTGGGGCACTCGTGCTCTTTACCGCGGAGGTAGCTTTTGTATACGCGGCTCGTCAGCGCATCTATCGGCTCGATGCGCAAGTGGTGTACTTAGGTCGATACGGTGTCTCAAGTAATGGGAGTATCAATAGAGCCGTAGTGTTACCTTAGCAAGACACACAAAATAATCACAAAATTCGAGTCACAAAGTGCTGAGTTTGTTGGTTTTAATAATTTAAGATTTTTTGTTAAACGACTCAGATGGTTCATTTTTATAAATTAGGCTATCATTAGGCAAAAGTATATTAACCCATTAACGCGCAAAAGTGCAATTTTGTGCATGAATTTTCCGTTGTAAAAAAATTATAGATAAAGTTAAAATATTTTCTTGAAAATCCATACCCAGGGGTTTTTGGGTATGCTCTTTCAGTATCCGGTGTTATTTTTGCGATAAATAAACATTATCATCGTTTATTTTGCCATTAAAAACAAAAAACGTGATTTTTTGACTCAAAATTTTTTTTCAAAGTCGATTTTCTACCTTGCCTTGCCTTCGGAGGGTTCCCATAACACCAGAAATCGTGCACTTTTTCTCTGAACCTTCAAAAAATGCGCTGCCGCGATTTTTATCTTGCCCCTATATTTCTAAAATGGCGAATTTATACCGAGCAGCGGTATAAAAATTCACTCATTTTTTACTCAGAACCTATTTTACATGCGCTAAATATGAACTCAAAAGTACAATTTGGAGTGTAAAAACTTATTTGAAATCGTTTAGAGAATACGTGTGAATTTTTTCAGAATTTTTCAGACCACTTTGAAAATTTTGCAAAATACGACCATTTCCCGGCCTGTCGAAAAAATCCAAAATGTTCCAAAAAAAATCTGAAAAATTTTGAAAAAATTATTAAAAAATTCTAAAAAAAATTCACATGTATTCTTTGAACAAATTTGAACACTTTTCATTGTATGACTTTCTTTTATAAAGTCAATAATTTACAAATAAAAAATAAGGCAATTTTCATATCGCTGCTCGGTATAAATTCGCCATTTTAGAAATATAGGGGCAAGATAAAAATCGCGGCAGCGCATTTTTTGAAGGTTCAGAGAAAAAGTGCACGATTTCTGGTGTTATGGGAACCCTCCGAAGGCAAGGCAAGGTAGAAAATCGACTTTGAAAAAAAATTTTGAGTCAAAAAATCACGTTTTTTGTTTTTAATGGCAAAATAAACGATGATAATGTTTATTTATCGCAAAAATAACACCGGGTGCTGAAAGAGCATACTCAAAAACCCCTGGGTATGGATTTTCAAGAAAATATTTTAACTTTATCTATAATTTTTTTACAACGGAAAATTCATGCACAAAATTGCACTTTTGCGCGTTAATGGGTTAATGGAAAGTTTCGCAAAGAGCGAGGTGAAAATGCTCAAACAAGTTTTGAGCGAACTTCAGGCCGCAGTTGGCCCGAGTTCGAAGAACGAATGAACCCCTCTTACTATCGTAATAATTTCCATCTACATGCATACAAATCTTTGACTTTAATGAAATACAGTCATGATATTCATACGTGCAATGAAAAGCGAAACGGATAATTGAGAGGTATGAAAACAATTTCATAGGGTTATTATTCCAAGAAATTAAATTCTTGTCGGGTATAACTGCGCGGCCTTTTCTGAATATTTACATCTCTCCTTAAAGTTTCAGAATTTGATGATTTTCAATGACTTGTGAAACATTTATAATACATTACGCTTTTAAACGATAACGCGACGACATTATTAAATGTTACCAAGTAGTGCTGGTGATAATAAATATAATTACAAAAATAATAATGATAACATGAGATTTAGCAACTCACTGGCAGGAAGGATGTTAAACACACACGGCCTCTTCTGCCTACCGACGCTGTTGCTGGCCCAGCAGGCTAATGTACCAAAGTCCTCGTCGCTCCTCGGCGTGTACTCGAGCGAGCTGCTGTGCGCGCGGGGGTTGGAGACGGCGTACACGTCGCCGACACTGCTGTTGCGCGTCCACGAGAAGCGCACTCCGTCGCGCGGATCTGCCTCAATTTCGCAGCGTAGACGCAAAGTTTCGCCTCTGCTTGCGATCAAATTTTGCGACTCGTGTGACTCCTTGCACCGTGGCGTGTCTAAGTAAACAGTAATTAAGGCAATTTTGAATTTATATACACGCGTAATTTCTATGCATTTAATTAAATTCCCTTTTTTTTCCACCCCCCAATGCCAATTTCGAGTTCCTTCATTTTTTATGGTAAATATTCATCATCGCCGAATAATCGTCGGAATGAATTAATACTACAAGTTAAACTTTTTTTTCGAGAAAAAAGCTGAATTAAACTCAAGTCGGTATTTATATAAAATTAAAAAGTGTGGACAAAAATTTACATTTCATATAGACGTTGATAGGTTGACTGCGAGCTTCGCCGACGATATTTCTCACGAGACACGCGTAACTGCCACTATTTTCGAGCTTCAATTCTCGCAGAGTAAGCGTACTGGATGCGAGCAAAATCCCAGCCTCCACGTTGTGTTGCAGAAGTTTATCCTGCAAAGAATTGATACATATGTTATAATACAGACTCAACGCAAAAGCTGTGAATCCTCACAGGACACCGTCATTCCCGGAGAGCGAGATTTTTACAACGAAAAAATACTTTCTAACCAATATCAGATTAAATTTACTTGAATCAGGAAAAATTATTATCAGGCAAAAGTATAAGGTGCATTAGATTAAAATACAGTCTTCTTTCATACAGAATTAAATCTCTCAACATTTTTTTAAATTATGTACTTCGATATCAATTTTAAAAGATTCAGTTATTATTTATTACTTTGTACGCAGAAAATTATTTTTTTAATGATTTTTTAGCAACCTAAGAATTTATGACTCGTAATAAATCGATTTTACTTTCATAGAGTAAAAAAGGTTTTATAAGACTCAATCGATTATATCAGTTTATTAACAACAAAATTGCTTGAGTTTTTAATGAAGAATATTCTACGCCTGAAAAAGTATGATACAATCTTCTTTTCATAATGTTGTATCGCAACTTATTTTTTTCTCGAAGTTCGAAAAATCGATCGACAATTTAGTATGAAATTTTTAACTGGTGTAATGAATAGCAAAGTGCCTCATTTCTCATCCAATTATCAGTATTGCTTATGGATTTAATGAAAATATAACTTTTAAATTCCTCGCATAACCATGTCAATCTTCCCTTTCATCTGAATGATTTTCTTTTAGTCTTCACCTCCCAACCCCAGTACATACAAAAGCTCATCTTAATATCTCGTTTTCTTACTTCTCTTCGACGCATTTTTTTTAGCTACCCGTGTTCCACATCCTATATCATCTACTTGTACGCCTGTAGCAGTATTTTTTCTTACTATTATTGCATGCGATTGCATGCCAACATGCGTACACAAGCCACGGGTCGTATACATTTACCCGTATATACCAATTCCCCAGCTCATTTTATTTCGAGCTACTGTCTGTCTAGTTTTTTGAATTGGTTTTTTTCAGCGTCTAACGTTGATGCATATCAATGCTCTGCCTTCGTTTCACCGATGCCTGCGTCTTTCTCTTTCTGTTTTTTCCCTCCGAGAGCATCATCCCTTCTTTTTCTCGCTTTATCTCCGCGTAAGAAGCGCCTTGCATTTTCTGCTGATATCCCCGCACGCTAACTCGAGCTTTTTCTCGCGTTTATTTACCATGGTTATAAGAATGATACCACCATGCGCAGGCATATTACGAACACAATAGGCACTTGGGCACAGTATAAGCAGATTTTTTTTCAATTACGCTATTTGAATTGTCTTTCTGACTTGAAGTTTCAGATGAATTGGCTTAGCTGATAATGCATTTAATGATACAGATAACAAAATAATTCTTGTTTAAAACTAATGTAATTAAAAAACTGTCATAACAGATAAGTTGAAGATAATTTTCAAAAAAAGCTCATGCTACTTCATAACATAACAATCGTGTATTATTACACGTATTGCGAATGTTATGTAAAGCCAAGCTCGAAGATCATACAAAGTCAAATATAAATGGGCAGAATCGGTACCAGGAAATGCAGAGAAAGCTCGCACTTCCGCCTGCTCGTTGACAATATAATACTCACATTATGGAGCCACTCAATGCTCGTTGGCTCGGGATTGCTATGGTAATTGCAGGCGAACTTAATGTCGTCTCCTTCCCTCAGCACTTCCATATTGAAACCGGTAGCTAGCTCGGCACTGGCACTCGGCGCATCTGCAATTGTAAAACCAATTAGAGTCAACAAAAGAATTGGCCAAAGAAAGAGCGCAGCTTACACACGCATACAAGTATACACCCCCCAAATACACTCACACGCACAGACTTATGCAAGAGCAGAGAGAATCAATTTCTATGCTCAAAGTTGCAACAACAGCAACAAATACGCCAAAGGAAGTCAACGGAGAGAGTAGAAAAGAAGAACATCGTTATTATTAACAACCGGCTTCTTCCGCGTGCATTGCTAGAAGTAAAGGCCACATTTTCATAGACATCCGGTTTCCTTTTCCAAGTATTTACTATCTGCGCTAGAAAACTTTTTACAAGAATTTATCTGTCTATTGGTCGCGCTTTCCTGTGCGCCGTACATAGCCCGAGCGAGTCTCTTGAAAATTTTGATAATACGAAAAACAACTGTGTCGAGCTTACTTTGCCCCGAGTGCGTCTCTTTCTCCGATTCCGGACTCCAAAAGCAGTCCAGAGGAGCGTCGTAGCGTACGGTGCTGCATAGTATGAAAATTCATTGCACGTATCGGTAGATTAACGCTCTTGCGCCACGTAAAAATTGTCGAGAATAGATTATATTTTATGGCCAAGGACGCGGCGCGGCGCGGCTGATACTCGCAAGTAAGATGTGTTGACTTTAGCGCAAGTAGTTTGACAACTAGTATTTCAAGAGATATGCCACTTGTCTCGCTTTGCTGGGAAAAGCTGGTAAGGAAACGGCTTGCTATATCGGAATGCAAACAGCTCGCTTGCCTGGCATGCATGCATGCCTGCCTGTCCCTCTCTCTCTCTCTCTCTCTCTCTCACTCTCTCTCAGCGAGTTCGATCACTTTGGCGAATCTCCCAGGAGTAACTCCTACAGTCTTCGCGTACTTATGGCAGTTCTTACAGAGGCTTCCGCTCGAGTATCTCCACTACGAGCGCGCATACAAGTCGCGATGAAAGTTTTGCCTTCCGAAGAGCTCGATTTAGCCGAACGCCGCCCGCCCGCCCGCGCGCAGACTCGCTCCGAAAGTTTCGATGGCTTTTGTATCTGCACGGAGGGAGAGAGAGAGAGAGAGATGCACGCTTTTGCAGCCGCAGAGCTCTTCGAAAGACTGCGACAACGACGGGACGACCTTATATACATATACTCGGCCACGTGCACTTACACACACACACACACACACAACACTCGCATCGATACAATGTCTCGTTGAAGATTAGCTTAGCCAAGGACTATCTTACTGTAGATGATTATATACATTCAGCGATTGTTCTCTTTTCCAGTTTAAGAGATTTTCGAGAGGCTCGCGTAGCCAATTCAAGCCCCTGCTCCCATTGTTATGGATAAGTATAATTAAAAACAAGCGGTTTTCTTTTTGACTTTCTTAACAACTTGGACAACTGGAATTATTATTGTTTGGGTGATTTGGCTTATCACTTCGATTCAAGCATTTTTCAGCTTGAAATTCTTTGAGTTCTTTTCAACTTTTATTCATTTAGAAAAATATTTTAACCATTTTTAATTCAATACTTTATTGATTCATAAAAAAAAAACAGTTAAAACCATATATCCTGTTAAATGAATAAATTATATAATTAAATTTTATCAAATTATCTAATGAATTGTAGAAAGAATTTTTTTAACTGATACTCGAGATTTTATTTGGTTTAATTAACAATCAAAAATTCAATTAACAATTTTTAAATATATCTCCTCATGTTTTGTAAAATTTTTTACATAGTAAACGATATTACAAAAGCCATACGGAATTTGGAAAGATGATACGCAAAGCAAACTGTAAAAAACTATATTGAAATATAGAACCTAGGCTGGTCAAAGACTGCATGTGAACGGACTATATAATATGTATATCCATTTATACAGCTTCCGGCTCAGGGGACACAGGTAGATAATCGAAGACAAAGATTGGAGCTAAAGTTCACGGGAATACGAGGTAATAAACGTGTGGCCACAAGAGCTATACACACATAGATACACATTTGCCGTACATTCAAAGTAGAGAGTGATAGATGCAGAGGATACTTACAAAGGACCCGCAAGACTTTGGTCATCTCGAGAACTCCGCCGGGAAAGCGAGGATTTTCCGCACGACAGGTCAGCTCCTTGCCGTCGTCGCTCTTGTCGAGTACTAGGGCCATCTTGCTGGCCGTTGAGTTGCTTCTTTGGGCGGTTGTCAGGCTGGATTCTCGGATAACAAGGCCGCCGAGACGCCAGACGATTCGAGCCGCTGGCGAACTTCCCCAAGTTTCGCAGCGGGCAGTCATCGGTCGGCCGGCAAAAATCTCCTCTTCCATCAATGTAACACTTACCATTGCTGGTTTCACTGAAATTCATAAGTACTTATTTGTAAGGAATCTTCTTAGTGACTTTAAATGATTTCGTGTATGCGCGTTGGGATTTAATTATTTTCGCGTTCTGCAGCAAGTATAATTTTAACGTTTTTTTTAAGGATCATAAAAATGTACCAATCAACGTGTCCATAAATTACTCAAGTGTGTTTGACAAGTTTTATGCTTGTATATTCCACCGTGAAAAATAAAAAGCACAAGGCCATTATGACATGCTTACAACGTGTAAATCTTGAACGTAAGGGAGCATTGTTACGCCGTTAATGTTTCTTGGAAGTGTAGCGAGGAACAAGGGTCAAAGGGTAATATCACAAAAAAATCACTTTTGAAGCGCAGCTTCAAGGCACTGAAAGCTGCGCGGCGTTCTAAAAACTGCACAAAGTATTCGCTTCCTCTCTAAAGCACCAGCTGACACATTCGTGCAGGTTTGTCATTTTAAATATAGATTCTTTCTGCCTTTCTTTCGTCTGTCACGACGGTAGCCTCGCACTGTAATGCAGCGAAGTTTTGCGAGTAAAATGCTAACTGTAGATTTACGAAGAAAATTTGATTATCTATACTTTTATGACGATCTAGAAAAACTCTTTCGTGTGCAAAAATTAAACAGAGCATGCTTTAATTAATTAAGACTCCATTTCTGAATCAAATAAACAATTTTCTGACCTCCAATATTCAAAATGAAGTAATCATTTTTTAATATGATTTTCTGCGAGTTTAAACATAATTATATTACATACTTATACAATCAGATTTTTGATTAAACAAAGTTTATAGTATTCAAAGAACTTTTTTAATTCGAAGTTTCCTGTAAGTTGTAGTTTTACCCTATACCGATACGTAAATATTGACAAAGATGTAAGAGGAGGAGGAACCAAAAACTTACGATAAATTTCGAGAGGCACTTTTTTAACGACTCTCCGTACAAGCTCACGTGTGCCAGATTCGGCTCGGCATTCGAGCTTAGCGCCACCAAGATCCCTCGTCACTCGTTCAATGAACAGTCGGTTAATTGTGAATTTGCTGTTGGGATTTATCCCGAACGCAACAGGCTCTTCCATAATTCCATCTAACATCTCGTCTCCTTGCCACCAAGTTACAGTTGGCCTTGGTTTTCCTGAAACGTAGAAAGTAAATTAATTGTATTTGTTACATGAAGCAGATGTTGGAATGAATGTTGTAATTTTTTCAAAATATAATGATTCTTTAGTTCAAGAAACCCGAAATTTTTAGGGTTTTTATACTTTTTCGTACTCGTTAAAAGTATTAATTTAATTGATCTTTCATTACTGCGCTACATCATGGGTGTTGAGATACAGTCCATTTATAATAAAACTTTAGAAAAAGTATTTTATTGAATGCAAAGTTCGATTCGAATATAGCTCGGGGGTATCTTTGCTCTTTGAAATAATGACTTTGAAGTAATAGAAGACAAAAGTATCCATCGTGTATAGCAGTGATGGCGTTTTCAATAAGCAACGAAAAAAATAAGACTGCCGACGTTGCGATACAAAATGGAGCATACTCCCGAGTACCTACTCCTATCAAAGAAATGTTTTTAATAATAAAATATTCAACGTCAGAAATTACAAAATTTAATTACAGTAAAAAATGTAGTGCATCTTAATGTTGTTGTCTTTTTGATAGTACATTCGAATCAATCATCGTTCGTACTAATAAAAAAGTATGACTTATAGAACTCAATCAGTACATAATATTTTAAACATTTTTACTACATATTTTATTTTTATAAAGTAAATTAACTTGTTGCTATATTTAAAAAGTGTTTAAAATTTTTCTTTAATTGAGCAAAATATATCATTACAGTGTCTATGCTGCAAAGTTTTGTGCACATTTTGCCTAATTGTCATTGTAGAAGTGATAGACCTTTGTATTCGGAGCTGGCTGATACAAATTAAAGACTTCTAAGTCTAGGGCCAATTTACATTGTAATTTTTGGCACCTGAAACAAGATGAAAGTCGCATGTGCACTATACGCTTGGCTTGCGACGTAATTTTTCGAACGCTTCAAAAAGTACTGGTGAAAGTTTTCCTTTTTTCACGTTTGATTAGAAACAAAGGATATGAACTCTGTCATTGGCTATGTATAGATAATTATTTGTTCGACCAAAAGTAAAAAAGCGCGGTTGACTCCTTTTACTTTTCTCTGTGCGTCTAGCTATATTTGTTTTTTCATCTTTTTCGTTTCTTTCTTCTTTTTATCGAGTATTTTATTTATATAGGCCGGCTGGTATCCATAATATTGCTTCATAAAATAATCTTCCTTTTTTAAAACTGACACTCGAAGTTACGATTGGATTTTTTTTATCGGAATGTGCACAATAAAGCCCGTGAAAATTTTTCGACATAATCCAAAAGAAAATATATTCTTTGTGGTTGTAAAATAATAATAATTCATCCGAACACATAGAGAGGGTAATAAAAATGAATGAAAAAGCACAGCACAAGTAGTAGTATATACTTACCACCGGAAACTTGACAAGTCAAGATGAGATCATAACCCTCGAGAAATGGTCCGCCCACACCCGTCACTTCTCTACCTTGTGCATCGTAAATTACCGGCTTGCTCGGTGGTTCTGAAAAAAGATATTGACGCTTTTTTATATCTTCTCTGACAGATAATCTAACAAAGACTCTGGAGGCCTGTATGTAAAAATATTTCAATGCAGATATAACGGGAACTTCATTGATGGGTGATAATACGTTACATTCGACAATTATTTTTCGATTTTTTTTCGAACCACGAAAATGACTTGGATTATATTTCTATTGTTGCTTGTGCTCGATAGAAGTAATACAGTTTTGACGATGCATCATTCAGTGAGTGAAAAAGAATACCAATCATTCAAACTCGAATATGTGAGCTCTATGATTCATGAAAAAGCATGAAAATCGAAAGGATTAAAAATTTAATTTACTATATATTTGAGAAATTCCTTCTGCTTCAAAGTTGATTATTCTCAACCATAAAATATAAATTCATAAAGTAGTAATGATCTTGCAGTTATCAAAATAATGTTAAAATAGATTAGAAAATATTTGATTGGCTTTCAAAAAGGGTTGATTTTACATTGTAAAGTAATATTTTGAAAAAATTATAAATTTTAAATGTCGTTATTCTACTATTAACTAATGAAATTTAAAAAAACGAAAATAAAATGCCCCGAAATTCGATTAAACGTTACTGTAGACGAATTTGAGGAAAGGCAGGTTGATTGTATGAAAAGTTACCTATTAGCGTAAGATTGATGCGATAGTTATGTGTGGGTGAATTGGCAAAGTCGACGCGACATCGAAATACACCCTGATCATGCGGAGCAACCGCTTTAACTTTAAGCCGAGCATGTCCAGTCTTGTCTACTTGAAAATACGTTCTATTTCCGAGGCTGCTGCTCATGGCCCAGTGAACAGCTTTGTATATATCTCCAGCACGAGCATCCAGACTGCAAAAGAGAACAATTCAATGTAAATGAATGTGAGTAAGAATACATGAGTTTTTAATCAAAATCGACTTAAAATTATCAATTGAGTTGTCTATGATATTGTTGCATATGTTTTGCATAAGGGAATACCTTTTTTTTAATTTCCTCAAATTCCTGCTGAATACTTTTGTATCAAGCTATAAAAACATTTAAAGATAAAAAAAACAAAGACGCTTATAAAATTTTGTAAGTAAAGTTAATGGTAAAAGACCAAGTTATATGAACAAAATATTTGATATATGGCCGATTCTCTGTGAAATCGAATGGCCAAAAAATTTTTTTTTCTGCAAATATGAAAAACTTGCTGTTCCCGATGTCAGAAATGTCCCCAAATTTTATTGGAATTTTTGGGACCATCTATCACTCTTTTTCAGAGGCCCGAAGTTGGCGATTTTAGGGCCTTTTGAAATTCATGAAAAATCACAAATATTCAAATAATTCCTGGATCAGGGTAGAATGATTCAAAAGTAAAAGTGCCCAGCAACTTTTTTGTTGGAAATTGTCCAAATTTTCAGAAAAAAAATATGCCAAAGTGATTGGAACAATCTAGGTAAGTGTAAAGCAAAAAAACTGCCAAAGGAACATAAATGATGAAATCTAATCGAGGTCGAACCGGACTTTCATTTCCTAAACTATGTAAAAAGCTTCCCAAAGATGTCATCTAATGCCTGATAAAGTTTTGTAATGGGTCTTAAAGTTTAACGCAATGTAGACAACAATGTATGGCGAAAAACATGCAAAAAAGGTCAAAAATAGGCCCAAAATGCCTAAAATCACCAAAAACAGCCATTTTCAGACCTTTTTTGCACGTTTTGCGCCACACATTGTTGTCTACATTGCGTTAAACTTTAAGACCCATTACAAAACTTTATCAGGCATTAGTTGACGTCTTTGGGAAGCTTTTTACATAGTTTAGGAAATGAAAGTCCGGTTCGAACTCGATTAGATTTTATCATTTATGTTCCTTTGGCAGTTTTTTTGCTTTACACTTACCTAGATTGTTCCAATCACTTTGGCATATTTTTTTTCTGAAAATTTGGACAATTTCCAACAAAAAAGTTGCTGGGCACTTTTACTTTTGAATCATTCTACCCTGATCCAGGAATTATTTGAATATTTGTGATTTTTCATGAATTTCAAAAGGCCCTAAAATCGCCAACTTCGGGCCTCTGAAAAAGAGTGATAGATGGTCCCAAAAATTCCAATAAAATTTGGGGACATTTCTGACATCGGGAACAGCAAGTTTTTCATATTTGCAGAAAAAAAATTTTTTTGGCCATTCGATTTCACAGAGAATCGGCCATATACTTTTTCTAACCAAATAATTTTTGAGAACTTCATTTGTATGACTCTATTCAAATATGATTGGTGAAAAAATACATCCAAGAGAATCATATAGTGACAACATAATATAAAACCTTGCTTGCATTTACTATAATTGAAAAATATTCATCAGCAGTTTTTCAATTGTTTTTCGAATTTTCACATTGTGTCTCAACTAAATCAATGAATGATTTTGCCCGAGGTTGTTTTTGAGGACAGGAAAATTAAAAAAATGTAAGTATTAAAAATATTTTCACAAAAATAAAAAATTGAAATTATATTAATTTGTTGATTGAGAAAAAGCTTTTCAAGAGAAAGGTTGTCATTTTCGTTTATTCATGAAATACATTACATTATACTAGTGGCAACCACAGTTGCAAAATACTGAGCGACTGAATGGTAAATAACGAAATAGCATACGACATCATTATAATAGTTGTTTCAGTCGTATGAAATTAATAATAGTAGCTTAAATGAGTATCATAATAAATCAATGTTACAATGAGTTTTTTGTGTCAGCTAATTTGGTAAAGCCGTTAAAATTATTATTGGTATAATTGGAAGTAGAACACAAAAATAGGGCGTATTTTTTAGTTTGATGTTCCCTACATGTACATTAGTATAGGTATATATGAATACAAGTTTTCGTAATTCGCACGTACGAAATAGATTTCACTTATCGATGTTTTGTGCTCAGCGTGTATTGACAACGTTGCAACCAAAGGAATTTGCACATGGCATGCCAACACATATACAGCTGTATGTACGCGTTAAGCTGGCCCGGTGTGCCCACGTGACAATATATATAGATATATATTTGACTACATGACTAACCATGCATATTTATCACACATAGATTACATAGATGTACGATATTCGCTCGTTGTGTAAAAATGGTAAATGATATAGATGCGACTGTAGTTACGTATTTGGCGTTAGTGTAATATAAAAATGTATATAAACCCTTCATTCGCTCACGTTAACTTTGTTTCATATTTTGCGCTCCGAAAAAAATTATGCGAAAAGGAGTATAGGACACATCATAAGCTCGATTCATGAAGTGTTCAATAATTTATAATTTCTTTGTAATAAGACACAATTCAAAGAAAATGGCTAATTGTTTATTACGAGATCAATAGTATAATTTCTCCAATAATAAATGATAAGTTTAGAGTGTCTCTGTTGACATAAATTTTCTCAAACTTTCATTTCACGATTTTTAAATATTATTACACTTATGTTACCTAGCTCGATGTGTAACATCATTACGAAACAATTAGTCGTTGATCAAGTTCCGAGTGATAAACATGGACTTCAGTGATGTATATAACTCTGATGTCAGGTAATTTTTGTTTCGTGAGAATGAAATTTAAAAAAAAATGGCATAATACGTTATATTATTGGGAATATTGCAGAGTGAAGAAGGAACCAGATGATGTTTCCCCAATTAAAAATGAAGATTATAAGATAATTGACAATGCATGCGATGCTAAAAACGACGAATTCTCGAGTTTTTGTCGAGAAAATTCAGTAAGTGTTGATGTGGGACTGTTTAGTCAATATTTTGATCAAGTATTTTTACTAATCTCATTTCCAGATTTATGGGCTTCGTGAAAATGATAAAAATTCTGGACCTAATAACGATTTGGAAATAGAATTCGAATGTAAGGACGAGAAGCTCGGCATTAAGTTATTAGTAGTCAAGAAAATCGAGGACGATTATCCAGATCAATGGCAGTCTAAGAAAAATAGTTGCGATTATCAGACTCAAAAGAAAATTAAAGAAGAAATGGTCGACGAAGTAAAAGAGGAATTGAATTTGGATGGTGAACTCAGTGATGCATTTGATGCAAATGAAAAAACATTGGCTCAAAATAGTCAACGCAAAACCCAAACTGATAAGGCACGCAATCGTACCAAATATCCATGTAATATATGCGGTAAAAAATTTGCACGAAAAGGTTATCTCAAGGTCCACATCGATTCAGTACATAATGGTGTTAAACATGCGTGTGGTGTATGTGGAAAGTCTTTCGGACAAAAATGTTATCTCAAAATTCACATTGATGTGATGCATAATGGTATGGCACCTACTTGCGAAGTATGCGGGAAGAAATTCTTAACTGAAGCTGTACTCAAGATCCATATCGATGGAGTACATAATGGTGTTAAACATGCATGTGGTATATGTGAAAAGACATTCACACAAAAAGGAGATCTCAAAAGGCATATCGAGGGACATAATGGTGTTAAGCATACGTGTGGTATATGTGGAAAGTCTTTCGGACAAAAATGTTATCTCAAAATTCACATTGATGTGATGCATAATGGTATGGCACCTACTTGCGAAGTATGCGGGAAGAAATTCTTAACTGAAGCTGCACTCAAGATCCATATCGATGGAGTACATAATGGTGTTAAACATGCGTGTGGTATATGTGAAAAGACATTCACACAAAAAGGAAATCTCAAAATTCACATCGATGCGATGCATAATGGTATGGCCCCTACTTGCGAAATATGCGGAAAGAAATTTCAAACGAAGAATAAACTCAAGATCCATATCGATGCAGTACATAATGGTGTTGAACATGCGTGTGGTATATGTGAAAAGACATTCACACAAATAGCAGATCTCAAGAGGCATATCGAGGGACATAATGGTGTTCAACGTTCGTGTATTACACGTGGAAAGACATTCACACAAAAATGTTCTCTCAAAATTCACATCGATGCGATGCATAAAGGTATGGCACCTACTTGCGAAGTGTGCGGAAAGACATTCACACTAAAGGGTAATCTTAAAAAACACATGAATTTGATGCATAATAAGACCACTTATTGTAATAAGTGCGGCAAGACATTTTCTCAAAAGGATCGTCTTATAACTCACATTAAAGCGCAGCACGAAGACATTGATCACGCTTGTGTTTTATGCGGAAAAAAATTTAAACATAGAAAATATTTATGCAGACACGTCAAAAGAGTGCATGAAGGCAATACCCAAGCACGAGATCAATACAAAAGATCTTAAAACGTAACTATCAATACCGCGCAAAATGATGAAACATCGAGACAAATAAATAAATTAACATATCATGAATTAACATATATTTATTTACTATCATATAATAAATAAACATATCATAAATTTTTACTCAGTAGTGATACTCAAAACACGACATATAATATAATTGTCATCGGTACAATGTTAACTCAAACACGACATAATTATACTATATCACAATCATGTTATGCTCAGTATAGTGGTACTCAAAACACGACATATAATATACTTATCATAAGTACAATGTTAAATACCGATACACAAGTAAGACCGATCGCAAACAAAAATTACGTTTTTTCGAAGTGGAGATGTCGCGAGGTGCAAAACTCAAAATTGCATAAAAAGGCATTTTTTGTATATTAGAATATACGGATGTCGCTAAAAAAGTATACAGCACTCCATCAGCACCAAAACAATGCTATGTAAAATTTTCAGATTGATTGGTTTATCCCTGCATGAGTTATCGCAATTAGAATAAAACATCAAAAATAAGCAATATCGAATGTATACAAAAAAAATTACTCATAAATAACTCACAAAATATATATTACAAAATTTACACACGAATATTGATGCAAAAATCAAAATTGCATAAAAATGTTTTTTTTGCATATTAGGGCACACGGATTTTGCTAAAAAAGTATACAGCACTCCGTCAACACCCTAAGAATACTATGTAAAATTTTCAGATCGATTGGTTAATCCCTGCATGAGTTATCGCAGTTAGAGTAAAACATCGAAAATTAGCAATATCGAATGTGTACGACTTTGCTGCGCTCAGCATCAATTATGTAAAACTGGAACAACAAATGTTTATTTTAAATTTCTGAACCATTTTAAAAGAACCAAGATTGGTCAAGGAATCGAATTTGTATATTCAGAAAATCATGACTAAGAATTTATATGTGTAAAGACTACTACTGTCAAGCTGGAAGACTAACTTAATCATCATTGTATAGCTTGATGGTATGCCAAACTAACTATTAAGGATTAAATTGCTCTAATAGCATGTATTTGCCACAGACAAACTTAGTGGAAGTAGGAAGACAAGGGATCGATAACGGAAATCTGATTAATGGTTCTAAGTTAAAGTCACAGTCAGTCAATAGGTATAAAAAAGGCGAATTTATTCACGCATTGATAACTTTTCATTCAGTGCATACTGCATTAAAATTCACGTTAAAATGCAGAAAATGTTCTATTTCTAGAATGAATCAGTGCATACAATAACTTACAAAATAGTAAGAAAAATTTTTTTTTCTTTTTTATATTAGATTTTGTGTTTTCCAAGTTATAAGAATAATTTTTACAACATTTACTTCGGCTATACCATTTCATTCAAATCGATCAATATACTTCTATCTCGGCGCTTAAATTTTTCTGTAGTTTTGAAAGTAACTAATCGCAAGCTTACAGGAGTCTTGTTTCTCAGGTTCATTAAGACCTTGTGAATGAATTCTGGGAGCCTTTTTGTTTGTTCTGAAAGAACTTGCAACTTGCTTTTACCGTGTCTCTTTTCCCCATTTACAAACCATTTATTCTTGATGGCAAACGCTTATATATTTTCTTTAATCTTTTTCAATATACCACAGCTGTAATCACACATAAACGTAAATATAAATACGTTACGTACAACTCACAAACGAGAGGTGAAAGGAGGGTATCATCCGTTGCAGAAGTTCAAAGAGTACTAGAACTTTGAAAGGGGAAAATGCGCTTGCAAGCTCGCCCACGCAACGCCTCCGTATGCTTCAAGACATGCATGTTAGTTCGAAATAGAAGTAAAAAAGGAGCTTTTGATTTAAAAATCGGATATTTACAAACGTAGACATTATCTACCATCTAGTTAATTTGTTGAAATAATTTACAGGCACTATATTGTATTTCCCCTACAAATTTGATATTTTCATGAGTTCATTTCTTCTACATAAACGTATAAAAATGTATAATTAATGAACTTATACTCATTCAATATCTTAAAAAGTGTGAATAGCGGAGGAGCTTGAATTAATGAAAATCGCATGCGGTGTAATCAAAAGATGCGCTAACAAACGCAAAGATATTTAATGACAATATCAAGTTCTATTCGATTATTCAATCACGAACTGTATTTGAATTTTGTATTCCACGAAGTGAAATGTTTCGCGATATAATATTGTAACTTGAACGTAGAATTTGAACATCTTGATTTGAATATCTCTGTAAATTTTCACATTTGTAAGGAGAGCTTTGACTTGGATATTCGGATAATCCTAAAAAGCGTTGAACCTATTACAGAATCCTTTGAGCTTTAATTAAAAAAAAGAATTTCATAAACTTAACGAAAACTTGTTGGAATTGAGTTGATTTATGCTCTTGCGATGTATACCAAGAGATTTTGTAAAACTCTTATTCTAAGCCGTTTTAAATCTCGTAAATACGTCGAAAAGATGTACCGAAATATTTTATTGATAAATAAGGAATCGTTCGTTTTCAACTTTACAAAGTGCATTAGAGCCGTGCGGAGTTTTTAAACGGTCTCGGTTATTGGGCTTCTTCGTCAGTGCTTCATTTTCATCAGACTCCCGCAGCAAACTCAGAGCCATACACGCACGCGTACACGTACACTCAATCGCACTCAGTTGCCAACATTCATGTATATGGGCCAACATAGCAATCTATATAGAGATATATAAGTGTGTATATATGCACATTTGCAGTGGCGCAGGGCGAGCGAGTAGGGTTGCATATACATATACGTGGCAGCATTCGTGTTCTGCCAGTCAACTAACGAGCGTCCGTATCCTAGGGGCAGCCTCGAGAAATTTCGAGAAACAACTTCGGGGAACAATGGCATCTCACCGCTAACAGGCATCGCGCGCGCGCCGCCTCCGCTCAACTTCTCTCTACGTTATGCTACTGCAACTAGCTCATTCAAGCTCTCGCTCCTTTTCTCCTCTTGTGCTCCCCGCGCGTCTAGCCGGAGCTCTGCTGCCCGCGCGCTGCCCCTGCCCCCCAGTATACAGCAGAGCTCCGCGCTGTGTTTCTCTGATGCTGCTGCAGCTACGGCGCCTTACTACATACAGTATGTTATGCGAAACTCGTGCGATGCATGATGATTCGATAAAGCGCGGACGTGCTAGAGTGTGTATACGTGTATACAGGGGAGAAGTAACGGCCAAAACAACGAGTGAAAAATAAATATTTTTCACACTGGCGAACACACACACACACACACGTGCATATAATATCGTCGAGGCGTCGAGGTTGAGAGTTGCCACAGATCGTCGGAGTAGTATAGTAGCGCGCGCGGGAAAGTGTGAAATACCTGCGCGCATAATACACATCGTTTATAATTTCTATCGGGGACGAGCGCGAGCATGAACAGCAGAGACAATTTTACTGACATTGCGTGGGTGTGCGAGTATGTGTGTGTGAGTGTGGATACGCTTGCGCGGAAGGAGAAAGGAGTAGGAAGAGGGACCCACTGCTACATGTTACACGTCTACATTCATTTATTCGCTCTCACGCGCGCCCGCACACCTATAACATCTCTGTGCTGCTGCACGCTGCCGCCGCCACCGCCTGCACCCTCAATTTCATCCGTAATTTTCATTTATGTCAAATTCAATATTTCACGATGCACGCAGAAAGAGACTTCGGAAAGGGTGTGCGCCGCTTGTGCAGCGTGTAGCCAGCGCGTGTACTACGAGGTTTCACGTCGTTTGCGTCGGATTAAAACGAATAAGGCCTTGTGTGGCATGCGCGGCCACGAGCGACCGTCCGGGACGTTTTTTTCCCCGTTACTAAATTATGCATCACTCGAATAATAATAAAAAGAGTTTACCAAATACAGAATGAGGGATTTTATTCAGCGGGATGTAATTTTTGTTTTAATACGACGTCCTTTGTTTCGGAATATAATAATGAATTTATTATTCAATCTATTTAAAGCTTAAATGAGGCATCATATCTCACCTGTACAAGGGAATACTAGCTTCGTCTTTGAACCAAAGTACCATGGTGACTTCGTCGTCTATCGAACCATTCGGTTTCAAATTACACGGCAACTCGATGTCTTCGCCTTCAACGGCCCATAAAGGTTTGACAGCTGCTGTAATCAAAGTTCAAATTAATTTTCATTTTTCACGCTCTGATACTTGAAATTTTTGATTGAATAAAATATTAAAATATTTAAAATGTAATATAAAAGATATTTATATCGATAATAATGAATAATGCCTTAATTCGTAACACAGTCAACTGTCGTAATATCTGAATTGCATATGGTACATTGCGTTTCATGAATTTCCTATTTTACGATATACTCTATTATACTTCGGTGTACACTGGCACACACAAACCACAAATACTCATACATAGGTATACATAGTGTAGGTATATATACCGAGCTGTTTTTATTTTCTCTCACAAAGTCAACTTCAGCTTTAGCAGCTTTTTTCTTCCTCTCTCGTGTGGCAGCCTGCTTCGCAAGCGTTACTTACTCTTCCGAAAATTTCTATTTCGGTAGTTCATACTAACTGTCAGACTTTTCCTTTTTTTGCGTAATCTTTCACTTCTCTGATTCGTTCGCTATCTCGTCTGAAAACGCAGTATATTTGCCATGTATGTATGCGTGTGTTTGTGTGTGTATGTGCGCGCGCGCGTGCTGAGAGGCCCACGAGGCCGGAAGAAGATAAAATGAATCTGTTGCAATGCTATACTGCTGTTGCGCGCAGTTAGAGAAAACGAGCGCAGTAAGAGTAGTAGGAGAGTGGAAGAGGAAGGAAAGTGTATGGTAAACAACGCCGTGACCCCAATCATTAATTAAAAATTTGTCGTCGTTATTTACTCTTTTTTAAATTGCATCGTATGCTCTTCGGCTATTTTTGCGACAAATTCAGCTATACACGAGTGTACATGCGAGTGAGTGTGTATGTGTAGAGAGACTACATACGTTTGCTATCTCGAAAGAAACTGATATCGAGGTTCATTGCTCCGATGATGTGCATATATACTCATTATTATTCGTTATCGCACGATTAAAGTTTCTCGTGTACGACACAGTGATTTCGTCGGATTCGCAAGCTCCCTTTCTCGTGCTACGCGATGACAAGAAAACATCGTATCAGAGGGATCCCTCTTAGCGCAGAACTAGACCATCAGCGCGCCACTTGCAGCTAGTGCAAAACTACACGAAGTGTCTTTTGGACTCTCTTCTCCTTACGCATGGAAAGTGCAACTTGCTGTACGCGTAAGTTTGCCCTTGCAATACGGCTCGCAAGGATATACGAGCTGAGAGAGAGAGTGAGAGAGAGAGACAGTCGAGAGTGTAACAAAGTCCCATGAACACGCAAGTACGAATTTTCGAGTCATTAGGATGGGGGTACGCGCGACATAATGCAGTCAAGAAAGCCCGAGCTCGAGGAACAAAGAAAGAGGCGCTGCGAAGATGTTTACTCGAGTAATAATAAACGGGAAAAAATTCGTGTAAAGTCGCGCGCAGTGTGTGCGCCTGCCTGGAAGTTTCGCACCCAGCCGTGTATGTATGCGTTCTTGCGGTTTGTATATACATAATCTGCTGCGGCGAATGAAAAAGCCGAGTCTTGTGCTTGTTTCTTGCCTCGACGACAAAAGTCGGCTCGGCGAAAGTTTATATACCGCGCACCCGTACGCAACATGCGCGAGGAACGCGCGCGCGACTATATCTGCCACCGAGAGCGTCGTGGAGGCTTGTTAGCCCAGCCATTGTGCGGGGGAGAAACGCATTTCACGCTCCGCTTCGCGTATACGTACGTATAATTTTGTGTGTGTATACGCGCCTGTATACGTACGTATCTTCGATACATCTATATAAACGCTTAACTCTGCTGCAGGCTGCTTCGCGCGAGAGGGCTGAATAGAGCGCGACAACGATGCTGTGCTGTTACGAAGAGCAGCACCTCATCGTCGTCGTCTAAAAAGTCGCTCTACTTGAGCCGTAGTAGGTACACCGCGCGCGGCTGTAAGAGCTCGGCTGCAGCAGCAGCAGCAGCAGCAGTGCCGCCTGCTGCACTTTTCACACTTTTTTTGCTGGTTCGCTCCTCGTCTCGGGGCTGCGTTTCTTTGCTACATAATGATATAATGGTGTACACAATGGCCGCCTCGTTCGCACACAATGAAAAGTTTTCCGAAACGTAATTTCTTTTCCCTTGCGTTAAACTTCTGTTTAAGAGCTACACTGGCTGCGCGGCGCTTTGCTTGCAGACGCGAGACTAATTTACGAGCGAGTCTTAATTGCTTGTATTAGTTCGACGACTACTGTCCACCCGACGTACTTCTTTGCGCTAATGGTAATCTAGAAAAATTAACTTGACTGAAAAACCAAACTTTTGCCCTCGTGCATATATAGCGAGTAGTGTACCGAATGTCAGCTCGTCGTGCTTAGGCGCGTATAGCTGTGCGAATTCTAGATCGCGCTCCTAGCCAATATATCTAGCTCTCGAGCATTAAATTTCATTTGTCAACTGGAATTTTCTATTAAAATTCTAATGGCGCGAAATTCCAATCTGCTTTATATATAAGCTGAAGGTAAGATTTCTGAAAAGTGGAAGCTTGCGCGGAGCTAGAGAGAGAGAGAGAGAGAGAGCGCCGCCCTTTTCGGAAATCTCGACTGGCAGCGCATGTACATGCTTATATACACTTTCTTGCTCCAACGGACTTCGGGAGCTCTTTTCTGAATCGGCATGACCGCTTTGCGGCTGCGGGCCATACAGGAAGCGTAATTCACTTGAGCGGGCGGTATACCAGGAAAGCCATAAATTTTCCCTCGTCTGCTCGAGCCGTGCCGCGCGCCGACCTTGCATATAAGAGACAGCTGTGATACGACTCTCTCTCTCTCTCTCTCTTTCTCTCTCTTCTCGACCACGTTTTCGGGTGAAGCTTTTTCGCGATTTTTCGACCCAAGAATATGGCGAAGCATGAAGCTAGGCCAGATAAGAATGAAGAAAACGTACATGTAGAAAAGCGCACAGCCTCGAAGGTACTGATAAGGTTGGAAATTCTAGCAAAATAGTTTGGAATCAAGTCGAGTGAAAAATAACAACAACTTAATGTGGTTGGATCTGTTTACTTTTTCAAATGAAAGATAATTCAATTTACTTCCTGCGTGTTATCGAATCTTGGAGTAATTACTTTTAACTGGGTAACACATTGATTTTTTCATGAACCACTGCACCGACTCGTAAATTATGAAATCTGAAAAAAGTATTTCAAATTGAAACGTCAATACTTCATGTTATTCGAAGAAATAAGCTTTTTGCTTTAAAAAATTTAATAATTCCAATTTTGATTGAAAATTTTATATGATTATACGGTTGCATAATTATTTTTCGTAATTAAGCTACCATAGATTTAACATGACAACGGTCTTTGGTAGAATTGTTTTCATTATTACCTACAACTTAAAAGAGATGCAAATTAATAAGAGGTAATGCAGTAAGAGATGACTGGCGCAGTGGTCACTTTGATAAATTCATAATAGAGAGATGCTGGAATAGAGTAGCGACAAACTGGGCGCTGCGGGGGACTTGGCTTTATTTGTCAAGCTTCCGTCTGCGCGAGTATGGTGCGTGTCGCTGAGTGATGAACAGCTATAAAATATTAGTCAAACTAGGATAAAGGCATTACCGCACCGGTGAAAACTCATTAATATGGATAAAGAAATTAATTTTTCTAGCTTTTGAATAAAATATTTTCATCGCTTGTTCATAGCAAAAAAATTTTTCGAGCTTTCGGCACGCAAAATTTAGCAGCTCCTGGGAGTTGAATAGACATTTGCATTTTGTGACGTAAATATAAAGCTTTGACAATGATTGGCTGCACAAATAATGATCTTTGATAACCACAGCCAGTAATATTTTCTGGAAAATCGTTTCATGTCAGAGAGTAAGCATTTGACTTTACGCGCAATAATAGTCGAGAGAGTGAGTGAGAGAGTCAGCTCGGGCGCTGCTATATACATCTGTACACTCGGGCTCTCTTGTATAAATGAAACAGGCTGAAGAAATCGATAGTAGCTGTAACGACGAGTTTGGTCTTGAAGAGGACAAAAAGGGGACTTTATATCCAGTGGCAACATCAACAGCTATAGAAATTAAACTTTCCACTCGTTGTCCGTGAAGAATGAGTGGAGCACGAGCAGCGGGACTCGAAGTGCCTTCTTCTCTCTGTGCACCTCGTTTCGTATAGTTAAGAAAGAACGAGACTATTCGCTTCATCTGTGCGACGGGGCCAAACCGACGACGACGACGACGAGGATCGATTTTTTCTTCAAGTACCACTGCCGGCAGAAGGACACACAATTTTCTTGACTTTCAGCTCGATGAAAAGCAATTTAAATGTTGATTGTGTGGGAATGGATTTGTGCGCCGAGTTCGTGCACATATGCACCCGCGGGCCACGCGCAGGCCAAAGAATACGGAGAGCAGAGATATAATGCTGCTCTGGCTGCTCACTTGGCTTGTTCGAATTGTCGAGCAGTTCGTTATAACCAACGATTTATCGAGAAACCTATGCTAATCTCTGTGTTCGTCCCAAAACTTATCAGACGAGGCATCAGCCGATAGAAAGTGAGAGAGAGAGAGAGAGAGAGAGAAAAGCATATTTCAAAGTTTTCGAATGAGTATACACTTTCCGCAAGAGAACATTAGCTTGCACAGATCACCTCGTTTATGTACATCCTTCCGACAAGCATATATAGCAGCTCGGCCTATGGACGTGTAATAAAGAGGCATCCAATGAAGCTCCATATAGTAATATTGGCCAGATTACCGATCCTCTGTTTTCTGCTTTTTATTCAACTTTTTTTTTAATGCAATACCGATGAGTGCTGTGGTGTAGTAGGCAAAAAGAGCTCGAAAAAGAAAAGCAAACGATTCATTCAAGAGTGATAGAGAGAGAAAGATGTGAAAGTGCAATCTCGATCCAATTTCACAAATGCATTTCTTCGAGTCGAAAATCTAGTTTTGTACGGTATGACTCCACGCGTTCTCTGTCAATTTTCGAAAGTATCATTTTGAATTTGTGGCCCTACCCTGCCCTCTCCATCTCCCTTTCTCTTTCTTTTTCTTCATC